CCTGGCTTTCTTGAGGGGTGGCAGCCCCCCAGCCGCCTGGCCAGCTACTGCCCTGCAGAGGGGAGGAAGGTCTTTGTGCACTCTGAGCCCGCCTTGTATTCCCTCCAGAATGGCAGGGCTGTGTGGGAACCCACATGGCTTAGGTAAGGTGGGGGAAGTGTCAGGTCCCACCAGAAAAGGGTGGAACTCGTCTCCTCTGCCCACTGCCCTGCTTTCTAGTGAGATTCAAGCCATTCAGCTCATTCACACCTTTTCTCTGCCTGCTGGAAAGGTGTGCGGTGACTTCTTGGGGAAAGTATATTTTAAAAACCTTTTATAATGACTTTTCCCTTCCCCACAATAGGTAGTTAGTATATACTTAGCAAGCAGAAAAAGATTAGAAGATTCAAATAAGCCATAGGGAATTTCTGTGTGGATGGGGAGGTGCATATACTTCCAATAAGTTTTTCTATGTAGACATATATGTGTATTTAAATGTAAATGTGAATATGCTTTTTTTCTTTTTTGGAGACAAGGTCTGGCTCTATTGCCCAGGCTGGAGTGCAGGGATGTGATCTTGGCTCAGTGTAACCTCTGCCTCCCAGACTCAAGTGATCCTTCCACCTCAGCCTCCCGAGTAGCTAGGACTACAGGCACGTGCCACAACACCCAGCTAAGAATATGCATTTTGTTTGTTTTGTTTTTGTTTTTATTTTTGTTTTTGAGACGGAGTTTCGCTCTTGTTGCCCAGGCTAGAGTGCAATGGTGCAATCTCAGCTCACTGCCACCTCTGCCTCCTGGGTTCAAGCGATTCTCCTGCCTCAGCCTCCCAAGTAGCTGGGATTACAGGCATGCACCACCATGCCTGGCTAATTTTTTTTTGTATTTTTAGTAGAGACAGGGTTTCTCCATGTTGGTTAGGCTGGTCTTGAACTCCCGACTTCAGGTGATCCACCCGCCTCGGCCTCCCAAAGTGCTGGGATTATAGGCGTGAGCCACCGCGTCTGGCCAGAATATGCATTTTTTTAATCTAAAAAAGTAATACAAACTCAGTGAAGCAAAAATATCATTAGAAAAGCACACAGATGCATACCTAGCATACCTCTAAGGACAAGCTGCAGCACTCTGGTTATGCTGGTTGCCTTGGGCAGGATAACTGGGTGACTGGGTTCACTGTATTCTTTTATGTACTTTTTGAATGTTGAACCATGTGACTTTGTTATCTATTCAAAAATAATAGAAATAATAAAACCCGTACGTTAAAGAAGAAAGTCTTCAGTTTGACTCCTCAGCCGGACCCAGCATCAGCAGTTTGCTTTGTATCTTTCCAGGCCTTTCTCTAGTCTCATTCAATGCAGAGTTCTATAGATTTTGAAACTCTTTTTTTTTTTTTTTTTTTTGAGACAGAGTCTTGCTCTGTTGCCCAGACTGGAGTGCAGTGGTGTGCTCTCAGCTCACTGCAACCACTGCCTCACGGGTTCAACCAAGTCTCCTGCCTCAGTTTCCCTAGTAGCTGGGATTACAGGCGCCTGCCACCACTCCCAGCTAATTTTTTGTATTTTTAGTAGAGATGCATTTTCACTATGTTGGCCAGGCTGGTCTCAAAGTCCTGGCCTCAGGTGATCCACCCGCATTGGCCTCCGCAAGTGCTGGAATTACAGGTGTGAGCCACCACACCCAGCCATTTCTTTCTTTCTTTCTTTTTTTTTTTTTTTTTTTTTTTTGAAACGGAGTTTCATTCTTGTTGCCCAGGCTGGAGTGCAATGGCACGCTCTCGGCTCACTGCAACCTCCGCCTCCCAAGTAGCTGCGATTACAGGCATGCGCCACCACGCCTGGCTGATTTTGTATTTTTCGTAGAGATGGGGTTTCTCCATGTTGCTAGTCTGCCACCACTCCCAGCTAATTTTTTGTATTTTTAGTAGAGACGCATTTTCACTATGTTGGCCAGGCTGGTCTCAAACTCCTGATCTCAGGTGATCCGCCCGCCTCAGCCTCCCAAAGTGCTGGGATTACAGGCATGAGCCACCGCACCCAGCCTCTTTCTTCTTTCTGTGGCTGAGTAAATATTCTGTTGTGTGGATAGACCACATGTTTTTTTATCCATTCTAAAGTTAGTGGACATATTTGGGTTATAGGTTTTGTTTTGCTGGTTACTTCTTTCCCTTAACAGAGTGTCTGGGAGACTTTCCCATGTCAGTGAATCTCATGATCGCTCAGTCCTATGAATGGCTTTTAGGTGATCTCATTCATTCACATGTGATGCCTGACCCCTTGGTACCTGTGGAGACCCCTGGTTCTCCTCTCTGTCGCTTCACTTCCTTCCTCCAGGGAGCCTGCAGTCCTTGGCGTGGCTCTGGTCACCTAATCCATGGTCCAATGTTATAAATGAGAAAATGGAATTTCAGGGAGAGGAAGGGGTTCACCCAGGGATCATAAACTCAGCGTCGCAAGGGCCCCAGGGTTCAACTCCCAGCTGAGGCCACAGCCCTTCCCACTCAGCTTGTAATAGGCGGGCGCAGATCCTTCCATAGCCTGACGGTCTGAGCCCAGAGCCCCCACCTTGCACTCGCCACAGGGTCTGCTTCTGTGTGCCCTGTCCAGGGCCCCACTGGCTGCATTTGTCTGCTGCCTCCTGGCTCTTGTGGAAGGACTCCTTTTCTGACCCATAGCCCTGTTTCATCCCCTTCCCTTCCAGCTTTTGAAAGCTCCCAGGTCAGCACTTCTCAAATACTGGCTCCTGGCTCTTGGCACCCAGCGTCTGAAATATCAGCCTCTGCCTTCCTGCCTCATTTGCATTTCAAAAGGTCTCTTTAGGATTTGATTGGGCTCTCAGATACTCTGTACTTAAGGGTCCATCTGGAGCTCTCCTTGCCTGGCACAGTGGATCCGACCTGCATTTCAGAATCACCTGAAAGCATTTAAAAAATACTGATGTCTCAGACCTACCCCAGACCACCAGTATTTTTTTTTTTTTTTAAGTAATTCTCATGTGTACCAGGTTGAGAACCACTGTGCTAGCTACACTCTGGCCCTCATCAGCGAAGGCACATTTTTTCCTACCAACTCTTTGGAATTTGATTAAGAGCTATGTCAAGAACTGGTCCCAGGTGAGCTGTGGGTGTGCTGTGAGACCTTGGACAAGTCCCTGCCCCTCTCTCTTGGTTTCAGAAAAATAGGACTCGGATTAGATCAGTGGCTGTCACTTTCAGGGATGGGGTGTGAGAGGCGGGGATGGGAGCAAGCACGTATCCAAATCACCTGGGACCATTTTCAGAAATATACCAGCCCACCTTGAAAAGTCAAAACAACCTGTAAGCATGGTTTTATACATCCACCGCCACCATGAATCACCCCTCCTCTCTTGGGAGGAAGCGCTCAATGGAATCGTGCATCTAATTGAATGACTTCTTTAAACATTGAGAAACTTCAGTAATTTTTATTGTAACATTTCCTCCAATTCCCTCTGTAGGGCTTGTGCCATTTGGCATTCTTGCCAGCAATTTATGAACCTTTTTGTTTCTCCATAGCTTCACCAATAGACTATGTCTTCAGATATTTGGATTTTTGCCAATCTGATAGGTGAGAAACGGTATCTCAGTGTAATTTTAATTTGCATTTATCTAACAGGAGCGGGGTTGAATATCTTCTTGTGCCTTGATATCTTCATGTGCCATGATCCATTTGCCTTTCTTTTCCTGAGAACTGTTTTTTCATATCTCTAGCCTATTTTCCTACAGGTCTGGTGACCTTTTTAATGCTCTGTTTGTGAAACTCTTTCCATATTTAGGATATCAACCCTTTGTTGGTGTTATACATTACAGATATTTTTTCAGAGTTTGTCATTTATATTTTTACTTTTCTTAGGGTGTTTTTATTTCCATGCAGAATTTGCTTGTGTAATCAAATGTATCTATATTTTCCTCTATTGCTTCTGGATTTTAAACATCTTATTTTTTTGAGGCAGAGTCCTGCTGTGTTGCCCAGGCTGGTCTCAAACTCCTCAACGCAAGCAGTCCTCTCACCTCAGCCTCCCAAAGTACTGGGATTACAGGCATGAGTCACTATGCCTGGCTAGCTTCTGGATTTGTTTTTTGAGACAGCGTCTTGCTGTGTTGCCCAGGCTGGTCTCGAACTCTTGGCCTCAGGAATCCTCCTGTCTTGGCCTCCCAAAGTGTTGGATTACAGGCATGAGCTACCACATCCAGCCCTCATTTTCATTTTATCCATTAGTATTCATTCTAAATTAAAGTTCCCACTAGATGTCAGTTTCATGAGGACAGGATTTTCTCTGAGGTGGAGATTTGCCTACTGAGCTTTATGGAAGAGTCTCTTGGGGAACAACACCCCAGGGAGTGAGGCAGAGCTGGAAGGTGAATTACGCCAGTGATCCCGGTAGATCCCATGGGGAGCTCCGGAGCTAGGATGGCCCTCCCTGTAGAGCTGAGGCAAGAGGTTATGGACCCGTCCCTGGATGTGGGCTCCATCCACGGATGGCACCTGCCCTTGGACAAGGTGGTTCCCCTCAGCCAGTGGCTGCCGCTGGGAGGGGTACTCAGCTTTGAAGTCTCAGCTCTGAGAATGAGTGTCTCAGTTCCGAAGGGGAATCTGGGCAAAGCACCGCAACATCCTCCATGGTTCACTGCTGTGTTCTGTACACCTACCTACCTGGCGCATGATAGGTGCTCAGGAAATCCTTTCATGAAAGACAAGCAAGAACAGAAACACAGCTTTCCAAGTCTTAGCCGAGACCAGCTGGGTCACACATGGGGGTGGGCTATAGGGGAGGAGCCCTGAGCAGGTGTTTTCAGAATCATCTCCAGTGCTTCTGGCCTGTCTCCCATTGCTGCTCACTGGGTAATCTGGAGGGCTCCTCTTACTCAACAGTCAGTGCCGTCAGGGTGGGGTGGCCTGGGGACTGGGGCCCTCCCTGGACCCTGGGCACTGTGACAGCTGTCTGCATGTGCATCACCCTATGAGCTTTCAGTCCTGACTTTTTTTTTTTTTTAATTCTCCCTTCAGCATTCCTTGAAGAAAAGAGGAACCCGCTCCCTGGGGAAGGCCGATAAGAAGCCTTCAGTGCAGGTAATTCCCAGCAGCCCCCGTAGGAAGGTTTTATTCTGAAGACCTGAGCCTGACTCTTAAGTGGCCTGGGGATCCCAGATTCTGCCCTGTCCTCCCCTTGCTCATTTTCTTTTCTTTTTTTCTTTCTCTTTTTTTTTTTTTTTTTTTTGAGACAGAGTCTCACTCTCTTGCCCAGGCTGCAGTGCAGTGGCACAATCTCGGCTCACTGCAACCTCTACCTCCCAGGTTCAAGCAATTTTCATGCCTCAGCCTGAAAAGTTAGCTGGGACTACAAGTAGCTGGGACTACAGGTGTGCACCACCACATCTGGCTAATTTTTGTATTTTTAGTAGAGATAGGGTTTCACCATGCTGGCCAGGCTGATCTTGAACTCCTGGCCTCAAGCAATGTACGTGCCTCGGCCTCCCAAAGTACTGGGATTACAGTTGTGAGCCACTGCGCCCGGCCCCCTTGCTCATTTTCTTAGTTTCACTGCCCACTTTATTTCCCAAAACCACATCCTGAGCCTATGGTTCTTAGATGCTTAGATACTCACTCCCCACCCCAGCCAGGAACTTAGCAAGCAGCACTACAGTCAAATCCAAAGGTCTAGAGTTGGAGACCGAGGCTTGAATCTTGGCTCTGCCACTTGACTGCCATGTGATTGGGGTGAGTCATTTTGAGTTTCTGGACTCCATTCCCTATCTATCCCTGTCTTGGGGTTCATTGGAATAATTGGATAAAGTACTACTATATGCAGCAAAGGCCACATACCGTTAGCTCCTAGTAGTCTGGGATTGTCAGAATGCCAGGCCCTTTTCATCCTTAGCTCATTTAATCCCCTCTGTGGCTCTAGGAGGGAGGTAACGTTACTGCCGCATTTTACTGATGAAGCTGTAGTAGCAGCAGTTGCTCATCAATATGTCACCTGCTCCTGGACTCCCAGGCTATGTGTGGTGCCCCATCCTTGCTGTCATTTCAACGTCTACCCCTCTGTATCTCCCCGGGACCCTTACTTCCTTGAGGGTGTGGCTGTGTCTGATTCAACCCTGTGTTCCCAGCATATAGTTAGTGCTCCCCAAAATGCCGTGGCTGGTACTGAGCCTCCCAGCACTAACCTTCCTGGGTTGTGTCTGTCTCCGTGGCCCCAGGAGGACAGTGCGGACCTGAAGTGCCAGCTGCACTTTGCAAAGGAGGAGTCGGCCCTCATGTGCAAGAAGCTCACTAAGCTTGCCAAGGAGAACGACAGCATGAAGGAGGAGCTGCTGAAGTACCGCTCGCTCTATGGGGACCTGGACAGTGCGCTGTCAGCCGAGGAGCTGGCGGATGCCCCCCACTCGCGGGAGACCGAGCTGAAGGTGCACCTGAAGCTGGTGGAGGAGGAAGCCAATCTGCTGAGCCGCCGCATTGTCGAGCTGGAGGTGGAGAACCGAGGCCTGCGGGCTGAGATGGACGACATGAAGGATCACGGAGGTGGCTGTGGGGGTCCTGAGGCACGCCTGGCCTTCTCCGCGCTGGGTGGCAGCGAATGCGGGGAGAGCTTGGCAGAGCTGCGGCGACACCTGCAGTTCGTGGAAGAGGAGGCTGAGCTGCTGCGGCGCTCTTCTGCCGAGCTTGAGGACCAGAACAAGCTGCTGCTGAACGAGCTGGCCAAGTTCCGCTCGGAGCACGAGCTGGACGTGGCGCTGTCGGAAGACAGTTGCTCCGTGCTCAGCGAACCTTCGCAGGAGGAGCTGGCGGCCGCCAAGCTGCAGATCGGCGAGCTCAGCGGCAAGGTCAAGAAGCTGCAGTACGAGAACCGCGTGCTCCTCTCCAACCTCCAGCGCTGCGACCTCGCCTCCTGCCAGAGTACGCGGCCCATGCTGGAGACGGACGCCGAGGCCGGGGACTCTGCCCAGTGTGTGCCTGCTCCCCTGGGCGAGACACACGAGTCCCATGCGGCCCGCCTCTGCAGAGCCAGGGAGGCTGAGGCGCTGCCTGGGCTGAGGGAGCAGGCCGCCCTGGTCAGTAAGGCCATCGATGTCCTGGTGGCTGATGCCAATGGCTTCTCGGCTAGCCTCCGACTGTGTCTGGACAATGAGTGTGCTGACTTCCGGCTGCATGAGGCCCCGGACAACAGCGAGGGCCCCAGGGACACCAAGCTCATCCATGCCATCCTGGTGCGCCTGAGCATGCTGCAGCAGGAGCTGAACGCCTTCACGCGGAAGGCAGACGCAGTCCTCGGGGACTCTGTCAAGGAGCAGCAGGAGTCCTTCTCATCACTGCCCCCCTTGGGCTCCCAGGGGCTCTCCAAGGAGATTCTTCTGGCAAAAGACCTTGGCTCAGACTTTCAGGTAAGGTGTCTCATGCACAAATCCTATTATTTATTTTTTTCTTTTGTTTTGTTTTGTTTTTCTTGAGAGAGGGTCTCTCCCTGCCAGCCAGGCTGAAGTGCAGTGGTGCAGTCTCAGCTCCCTGCAGCCTTGATATCCTGCTCTAGCCATTCTCACCCCTCACCCTCCTGAGTACCTGGGACTACAAGTGAGCACCACCACACCTAGCTAATTTTTATTTTTTATGTTTTGAGATGGAGTCTTGCTCTGTCAGCCAGGCTGGAATGCAGTGGTGCAATTTCGGCTCACTGTAACCTTCAACTCCCAGGTTCAAGCGATTCTACTCCCTTAGCCTCCCAAGTAGCCGCGATTACAGGCGCCCTCTATCACACCTGGCTAATTTTTGTATTTTTGATAGAGATGGGGTTTCACCATGTTGGCCAGGCTGGTCTCGAACTCCTGACCTTAAGTGATCGGCCCACCTTTGCCTCCCAAAGTTCTGGGATTACAGGCGTGAGCCACTGTGCCTGGCCATAATTTTTAAATTTTTTTGTAGAGATGGGATCTCGCCATGTTGCCCAGGCTGGTCTTGAACTCCTGAGCTCAAGTGATCCACCAGCCTCAGCCTCCCAATGTGCTAGGACTATAGGTGTGAGCCACTGTGCGTGGCCTGATAGTCACATTTTAAATGGTCAGTATTTTTGTGTGTCTAGTGGAGTGGATCTAAAATATTTCATCCTTGGCAACTTGCCCTTCTAAATCATTGTCTACATATGTATCATATATTTGTTTTTCCACCCAGATTGTTTTATATCTGTTGTTACTATACACCTTATATTTTTTACGCAGTGTATCAGTTTGTTCATTTATGATGCTTGTCTGTTGTTCACACACTTTTTGTGCTCACTGCTGAAGGTGTCATGATTAGCAAAAACAGATATGATTCCCCCTCTCATTGCCCTTATCATCTAGTGGGCAGAGTCATCCAAAATATCACGTCAGTGAATGTGCAATTAGACACTGAGAGAGGAATCTGAAGGAAAGGTACATGGTTTTATGAACAAGGAACTTGACCTGGACCCTGTGCTGAGGGAGGGCCTCTGATCTGACCAGAGGTCAGAGGGATGAATGGCTGGGGGAACAGGGTTTTCAGCAGAGGAAATAGCCTGTACAAAGGCACAGCTCAGATCAGAGGCGGAAGGAGCGTGGTGTGTCCAGGGCGCTGAGTGAAGAGACAACGTGAAGCTGGACTGCACTGAGCATGGGGGAGATTTGATCTTCATCCTCAGAGCAATGGCAGGGAATTTTTCATTTCCAGGGAAAGAGAGTGACTTAGCGCTTTCTTTTTTTCTTTTTTTCTTTCTTTTCTTCTTTTTTTTTTTTTTTTTTTTGAGACGGAGTCTCACTCTGTCACCCAGGCTGGAGTGCAGTGGCACGATCTCAGCTCACTGCTACCTCCACCTCTCAGGTTCAAGTGATTCTCCTGCCTCAGCCTCCCAAGTAGCTGGGATTACAGGCATGTCCCACCACACCTGGCTAATTTTTGTGTTTTTAGTAGAGACGGGATTTCGTGATGTTGGCCAGGCTGGTCTTGAACTCCTGACCTCAGGTGATCCACCCGCCTCGGCCTCCCAAAGTGCTGGGATTACAGGTGTGAGCCATCGCGCCCTTCCGAGATTTAGCACTTTTTTTTTAACAACTATACAGTGATATGTGCCATAATTTCTTTAACTCAAGACCTGTTGATCCAGTTTCATCTTACTTGTTTAAGCAAGCACACTGCCTTTTTTTTTTTTTTTTTTTTTTTTTTTTTAAAGAAACAGTCCTGCTCTGTTGCCCAGGCTGGAGGGCATTGGTATGATCACAGCTTGCTGCAGCCTCAAATTGTAGATGGAATTATAGGCATGTGCCCATAGATTGCTCTGTTATCTCCCTCTTGGTTCTTCTTGAAAGAGGGATGAACAGAGGTCACACATGTGATAGGATAGTTGGGGCTGACTCAGAAGGTTTGTGCACAAGACACACATTCACAAAATCACTTCCCACTGACCTAGTCATTCATCCTTTCTGCAAGCATTCACTGAATGGCAGCAGTGCTCCAGCCAGGGCTGGGTCTGGGTTGCAGAGGTGAATCTACCAGGGTCCTAGCCCTCCGATGGGTGGTTCAAGCCTCTTAGGGAGCGCAGAGGCCTGGGGTGGGTGTTTCTGGCACCCCTCGGGCCCCTCCCCATGGTGATATTTGGTTTGTTCTGCCTGTGCCTCTGGGTGCAGCCACCTGACTTCAGGGACCTGCCGGAATGGGAACCCAGGATCCGAGAGGCCTTCCGCACTGGTGACTTGGACTCTAAGCCCGACCTCAGCCGGAGCTTCAGGCCTTACCGAGCTGAAGACAATGATTCCTATGCCTCTGAGGTGGGTCTAGGCCTGAGCAAGCAGGGGATTGGGTAGGAGGAAAGTGACTGAGGCCTGTCAAAAGCAGAGTGGTGCATATATCACTTAGCTGGTGAGGATATGGGTTTGGGGAAATAAGGAAGTTTGGGACATTCTCATGGCCTGTTCCAAGGAAACTTATAAACTCATCTTCATAAATTATTTTTTTTTCTGTATTAAATTCCACTGGGAATTTAACAATTTATGTAATTTTTTTGTTTGTTTGTTTTTGAGATGGAGACTCGCTCTGTCCCCCTGACTGGAGTGCAGTGGCGCGATCTTGGCTCACTGCAAGCTCCGCCTCCCGGGATCATGCCATTCTCCTGCCTCAGCCTCCTGAGTAGCTAGGACTACAGGCACCCGCCAACGTGCCCGGCTAATTTTTTGTAATTTTAGTAGAGACGGGGTTTCACCGTGGTCTCAATCTACTGACCTTGTGATCCGCCTGCCTCAGCCTCCCAAAGTACAATTTATGTAATTTAATGGAACTACTTATTTATGTAGCAGGAAGGCAGCAGTCTCTATAGTCAGGCAGTTTGAGTTTCAATTGTGGATCCACTCTTTACCTGGCTGTGAGATCTTGGATAAGTCATCTTACCTCTCTGATTCTCAGTTTTCTCACCTGTAAAATGAAGGTGCCTCACAGGGTTATTGAAAGGATTAAATACATGAAAAGCCATAGCTTAAGGCCTGGCCCACATTGGGTGAGGATGAGGAGGAGGATGATGATTATGATGATAATGACACATCTGTGGGATTCAGACTTGACCTGACTTCAAGTCTCAGTTCTGCCAGTGTTCCTGTGTGACCGTGGACAGGTTTCTACCTTCTGGCCACAGCTTCCCTGTTGGTAACATGGGAGGGTTAGAGTGAATGGTGGCTATCGAATTGCTAGGATTCTTTGATCCTCAGGGAATTCTGGGTAGTTCTGAGCCCCTTCTAAGCCTACTGAGCTTCTCCTTGCTTTTCATAATGAGCCTGAAGCAGGAAAAGGCTCCTGTGGACTGGGTGGAGTATCTCTGAAACCCTGAACCTTGCAGAGTCCTGTGTATTTTCCAGCCTGAGTACCTTTCTGAGCATCTCTTGGAAGATAACTCTGTGGTCCCAGGAAGGCCAGCCCATGACTATGTAGGAAGGAGAAGCTCACTTGAAGCTGATGGATCAGACTCTCTAAGTGAGCCTCCTGGAAGCCATGGCAAAAAGAGAAAAAACTGAGATAACTCAGTTCTCATTTTCTGAGAAAAGGAAATAGGCCTATTCTTTTTTTTTTTTTTTTTTTTTTTAGACTGAGTCTTGCTCTGTCGTCCAGTCTGGAGTGCAGTGGTACGATCTTGGCTCACTGTAACCTCCATTTCCTGAGTTCAAATGAATCTCATGCCTCAGCCCTCCTGATTAGGTGGTACTATAGGCGTGTGCCACCATGCCCAGCTAATTTTCATATTTTTAGTAGAGACAGGGTTTTGTCATGTTGCCCAGGAGGCTGGTCTCAAACTCTGGGGCTCAAGTGATCCTCCCGTCTCGGCCTCCCAGAGTGCTGGTATTGCAGGCGTGAACCACCATGCCCTGCCAGGAAGTAGGCCTATTCTATAGGCTTACCTGTAGAAAAAATAATTTCCTGCACACATTCAATTATTTGTTTCATTCAGTCACTCTTTATTGAGCAGTGACAATTGCCCAGTGCTGTTGAACACTGAGTTCAAGGAGGATACCAGGGAGCAGACAGTATGTAGCCCTGCAAAAATTTTTAATGCAAAACAGATATAGAAGATATACCTCAAGTCACTGTGCCTTCCACTGCCAAATCATCATATTATTGACCATATAATGAATGTTTACTTTCACAGAGGGACATTTGCCATACCTAGGAATGTTTTATGTAGGAGTTCTGGGGCCAGGCACTGTAACTCACACCTGTAATTTCAGCACTTTGGAAGACCCAGGTGGGCAGATTGCTTAAGCCTAGGAGTTCAAGATGAGCCTGGGCAACATGGCAAAATCCTGTCTCTACCAAAAATATATAAAAATTAGCCAGGTATGATGGCGGGCGCCTGTAATCCCAGTTACTTGAGAGGCTGAGGCAGGAGAATTGCTTGAACCTGGGAGGCAGAGGTTGCAGTGAGCCAAGATCGCGCTCAAGTCTGGCAAAACTCCATTGAGAGAGAGAGAGAGAGAGGAGGGATGGAGGGAAGGGAAGGGAAGGAAGGAAGGAAAGGAGGGAGGGAGGGAGGGAGGGGAGGGTGAAGGTCGGAGGTCAGAAGGTCTTCACACAGTTCCCATGGTTACATTTAGTGTGTGTCCATGTCCTTTATATGTTTTTCTATGGAGGTCTATAGCTTTTTTGGTTTTGTTTTTCTACTTTCTGTTGAAGTATAACATAATAACATACTTAAAATAAGGACACTGTCCTTAAGGGTACCCCTGAATGGATTGTTACATATGTATAGATCCATTGAACGTCTTTTAAGTCCCATCATTTCGTATCTAAGTTGTTTCTAAAATATTGCAATTATAAACAATGAAACAAGGAACATCTTTGTGAATCAAACTTAGTTTCCCCAGTACCTTATTAAGATAAATTTCAAAGAGAAAAGACCAAGTTCCAATGGTAACAAAAGCCAGATTTGATATGTACTGTTTCATTTAATCATCATGACGACCTTCTAAGGTGGGGACAGTCATTCTGCCTGATTTGTATTTGGACAGCTTGGGTCCAACTTCCCATCATTCCCCTACCACTGTCATCCTGAGATCACAATTTCTATCCACTTCTTCCCCTCTCTCCCTCCTCATTATCTGTGTCCCCTGTCCACACCACAGATCAAGGAGCTGCAGCTGGTGCTGGCTGAGGCCCACGACAGCCTCCGGGGCTTGCAAGAGCAGCTCTCCCAGGAGCGGCAGCTGCGAAAGGAGGAGGCCGACAATTTCAACCAGAAAATGGTCCAGGTGCGTGGTGCCCAGCGCTTTCCAGGCAGCTATTCCTACAGCCTCTTTGAGCTGGAAGCAGAGGCCTTGAGGATCTATGGGCCCTCTGAAGTCAAGAATGTTAGGGGAGGCTAGGTGTGGTGGCTTACCCTTGTAATCCCAGCACTTTGGGAGGTCGAGGCAGGCAGATCACTTGAGGCCAGGAGTTTGAGACCAACCTGGTCAACATGGTGAAACCCCACCTCTACTAAAAATACAAAAATTAGCCAGGCATGCTTGTGCGCGCCTGTAATCCCAGCTACTCGGGAGGCTGAGGCAAGAGAATCGCTTGAACCCAGGAGGCAGAGGTTACAGTGAGCCAAGATCGTCCCACTGCAGTCTAGCCTGGGCGACAGAGTGATCTCAAAAAAAAAAAAAAGGAATGAAAGAATTAAGGGAAACCTGAGTCTTCAGCCCCTTTGCCCTGCTGGGATGTTATTGCACGTGCCATTGTGCATTAGCTGTGTAATAGGACTATCATTGGCTGCCTGTGGGACCTGGGGCCAGTCCTGTTTTCTCTCAGGACCTCAGTTTCCCATTTATGAAATGGTGCCCTCATCAGACCTGGCTTCTAATCAAGATAATAGTTCTGGAATAACATTTGTTAAGCCCTTTCTGTATGCTGGGCCTGTCCAATGCACTTTCCACCCATTATGTCTTTTAATCCTTGTGCCCTCCCTCATCACCATTTTGCAGATGGGGAAACTGACGCCCAGAGAGCCAGAGTGCTCTGCCCAGGGTTGCACATCCAGAGCGCAGCGGAGCTGGGCCTCTAATCCAGGTCCCTCTGTTAGCCGTGACTCTGCATTTTTTCCTAGGGTGTTGCCCAGTCATCAGCCATCCTCAACCCTGGCACGCCCTTTGCTCTCCACGCATCACCCCTCCCTGCTATCATCGCTCACCCTCGCAGGTTCCTCACTGAACATGAGAGTCCACGTGAGACATTTGGTTCCCAGGAGGTGCTCAGTATATGATGTCATGTTTTTTTAGTCAGAGCCAGGGTCAAATCCCAGCTCCTTCAGTGATGTGTCACTGTGGCTGCAGTAGCAGAGGGCAGTGCTCGTCTGAATAGACTGTGCCACGCGTGGTGGGATCCCGGGCAGGGATCACTCACAGGCACCACCCAGACTTTCCTCCCTGCCCCACTCCAGGGGCCCGGAAAGGGGTGGGGGAGAGGGAAGGGCCCTGGGATTGCTCAAGCTCTTGTCCCCCGGCAGCTGAAGGAGGACCAGCAGAGGGCGCTCCTGAGGCGGGAGTTTGAGCTGCAGAGTCTGAGCCTCCAGCGGAGGCTGGAGCAGAAATTCTGGAGCCAGGAGAAGAACATGCTGGTGCAGGAGTCCCAGCAGTTCAAGCACAACTTCTTGCTGCTCTTCATGAAGCTCAGGTGGTTCCTCAAGCGCTGGCGGCAGGGCAAAGTTTTGCCCAGCGAGGGGGATGACTTCCTCGAGGTAAGATTGGGCCTGGGACTGGGACTGGGAGTATGGGCTGGGGAGAGAGGGACAGGAAAGGGACGCCCAGCTGGATTTGACACAGCTCCTAGACTCGCATACCTGCCATCAGCATGCAAGCTTCCTTCTCTGCATTCGTTGCTCCTTTTTTTTTTTTTTTTTTTTTTTTGAGATGGAGTCTCTCTCTGTCGCCCAGGCCTGAGTGAAGTGGCACAGTCTCGGCTCACTGCAATCTCCGTCTGTCTCCCAGGTTCAAGCAATTCTCCTGCCTCACCCTCCCGAGTAGCTGGGACTACAGGCGCCTGCCACCATGCCCTGCTAGTTTTTGTAGAGATGGGGTTTCACCATGTTGACCAGGCTGCTCTCGAACTCCTGACCATGTGATCCGCCCGCCTCAGCCTCCCAAAGTGCTGGGATTACAGGTGTTAGCCACCGCACCTGGCCATCGTTGCTCTTTACTGGGCATGTGGAGGGTGCTTGCTGGGGGTACCATGAGGAAGATGACACGCTTCGTCCCGGCCTCAATAGCAGAAAGGATCCTTGGGGCTGGCAGGTCTTTAACACAGAGTCCTCAGAGGCAGCAGTATCGAGGTGAATGTAGGAATCTAGTTTTGTAGTAGCATCAGGTACAGGTATACATTTTTATTCAGTGCCCTGGGAGGCTCCCCTGGGCCCCTTCCCAGAATTTTTTTTTTTTTTTTTTTTTTTGAGACAGAGTCTCACTCTGTTACCCAGGCTGGAGTGGAGTGCAGTGCCACGATCTTGGCTCACTGCAATCTCCACCTCCCGGGTTCAAGGAATTCTGCCTCAGCCTACCGAGTAGCTGGGATTACAGGCACGTGGCACCATACCCAGCTAATTTTTGTATTTTTAGTAAAGACAGGTTTTCTCCATGTTGGCCAGGCTGGTCTCTTGAACTCCTGACCTCAAGTAATCCATCCCCCTTGGTCTCCCAAAGTGCTGGGATTACAGGCATGAGCCACCATGCCCAGCCGAAAGATATGTTTATTTAACAAGAGGGAGTAGGCTGGATTAAAAACACTGGTGATAGTACAGGTGGTATTAGGGTGTGGCAGGAAATGTGTGGGGGCAGAGCTTTGGGAATGTGTGAAGCTTAGAAAGGACCCACCTGGCCCATTCGTGCCCCAGTCTGTGCAGGACCCTCTGCTGCTCAAAGCCCCTGTCTCCTGTCATCAGCACAGCAGCAGGGAGGAGAAGGGGACTTACAAGGATGTCAGACCTTGGTCACACTCATCTTAGTTGACACTGCTCACTTTGGCCTTGTCCTTTTGGGTTCAGGTACCTCGAATCTAGCCCAGGCTTGGCCCTCCTCGTCCAGGCTACTGTCTGTAGGCCCCTTTCCAGATCAAATAGGGAGCATTGGCATGCCTCAAGTTGCCATGTACGCCATCAGGGGTACTCCAGAGGAGCCCAGATGCCCTAGGAGCCAGGCATGACAGTTAGACCTGAGTGTATAGCAAGACCCTGCATCACCCTATCTCAGTGGAGCTCATCATTCTCGAAGGCCACTAGCTCCTCCCCAGGGCCTCATGGGAGAGTCCCTGCCGCCATTCCATGGGCCCACACCCTGCTGCCCTGACCCTGCAGTGCCTGACACAGGGCCGCCCTGGGAGCATCAGCCTCGAGCCTCTTGTCTGAAGCTGTCTCTTCTGTGACGTTTGGAAACAGAGGAGCCCTCTCACCTGTTTGGAAGTCTCACGGTCCTCTGGACGAAGCCCAGTTTAAGGGAATGACCTGCAGGCCACACAGTCTGCATTTTAAGTCAGTTTGTCTGACTTGAACCCTCCACATTTGGTGAAAACCTTTCTAGCCATTTCCATATCCTAGAGTAAAAGAGAGAGAAACTTACTTTAGGAAAGGAAAAAATAGAGTATAAACAGAAAATTGGCCAGGTGCAGTGGCTCACGCCTGTAATCTCAGCACTTCGAGAGGCTAAGGTGGGCAGATCACTTGAGGTCAGGAGTTAGAGACCAGCCTGGCCAACATGGTGAAACCCCATCTCTACTAAAAATACAAAAATTAGCTGGGAACGGTGGCGCACACCGGTAGTTCCAGCTGCTTGGGAGCCTGAAGCAGGAGAATCTCTTGAACCTGCAAGGCAGAGGTTGCAGTGAGCCAAGATCATGCCATTGCACTCCAGCCTGGGTGACACAGTGACACTCCGTCTCAAAAAAAATAAAGAGACACAGAAAATTACATAACATATATGCCTCTAATTAAGAAATATGTACATTTACCAAAATAGGCATAATTAATAAGATATAAACATAATCATGCTAGGCACGGTGGCTCGCACCTATAATCCCCGCATTTTGGGAGGCTGAGGCAGGAGGATTGCTTGAGCACAGAAGATGACTCATTCCCTTTTGCCTTATTTCCATCATAAACTAGGTCCCTGATCTCCTTGGCTGGCCCTGGACTCTTGCCCAGAATCCATCAGCAATAAATCCAAGCCCCCAGCAAGATCACTTCTGTCCACCCAAACCTTTGGTCACCCTTATGTAGCATTGTGGGAGTGCACATGGCCTTTTCATTTCAACCGCAGTGCCTGCCTTGACCCAGCCTGTCAACATGGTTATTTCAGAGTGACTCTCAGGGATGCTTCCTGGTCTTTGGGGCAGAATAGATGTCGTGGGAGGCTAGGAGGGCCTGACTGTCCAGCCGTGCTCCTCAACCTATACGGTGCCCAAGGTTGGAATTAAAATTTGGGAAAACTTCCCACCTGCAGTTAAGCATGGTTTTTAAAAAACAGGTGAACAGCATGAAGGAGCTGTACCTGCTGATGGAGGAAGAGGAGATAAACGCTCAGCATTCTGATAACAAGGCCTGCACGGGAGACAGCTGGACCCAGAACACGGTGTGTTTCCAGCCCCTTCGCGGTCCTGTTGTGTCCATTCATTCCTTTGTCTGCTCAGTGATCAATTCCTACTGCTTTCTCTGACCCCATTCCTGGACACTGGAGTTGCAGAAGGTTATTGCCTGGTCATCCCAGGGCAGTAACAGAATCCAGATGATGGACTGTGGGGTCATAAGCAAGACAGCAAGTAATTCTCTTTGCAGTATAGGGGACAGCATCACAGTGAAGGGGTCATGGATGATGGGTTTTGAAGGATGTATAGGAGTTTACCTAATAGAGAATGGGGACTATTCTGGACCAAGAGAACTGTGTGTGCTAAGGTGTGGCAAGGTGTTTTGGTATTGAGTATGGCTTGGGAGGTACATGGTGAGGGTAAGGACATCAGGCTAGAGGCATCTGAAGAGGGGCCTTGTGGTCTAGGGTCAGGAACCTTCAAATCAAGCCATAAGTCAGAGAGAACAGTGTGGTCCGGATCCCAGGGTCACACACGGTAAGCTGGGGTAGGGATGGGAAATGAGAGCATGGGCCCAGGAAAGAAGATTTGGGACCAAGTCAGGCAAACTGAGGGAGTCTGCATGAATTTGACCCCACACTGGCCTGCGTGTGTCAGAGAGGATCCTGAGTGGGGAGAAAGACCCACGGCCCAGATGCTACAGAGCCTTGAAGAAGCCAGATGATTCAGCTCAGAGTTAGGCTGAATAATTATTATTGTAACTGCAGGGTTTTTTTTCTTGGTGTCAGATTTGGGACTCATGTCAGCCTAGGAGGTAGCCAGGGCTGGGCTTGTCATTCCCATGTTATGGGTGAGATGACCTAGAGAGGCCGTGGGACTTGCCTGAGGCCTCGTGGAGTCCCAAGCTGGACTCCTAGGTGAGTTCTCTGAGCCCAGATTCCCCCCCCCTACCCGCCGAGGCTCTTGACTCAGGTTTTGCCTTCTGTCTGCAGCCCAATGAGTACATCAAGACACTGGCCGACATGAAGGTGACGCTGAAGGAGCTGTGCTGGCTTCTCCGGGATGAACGCCGTGGTCTGACGGAGCTTCAGCAACAATTTGCTAAGGCCAAGGCTACCTGGGAGACAGAGCGGGCAGAGCTCAAGGGCCATACCACCCAGGTGAGCCCCCCACCTGTCAGAGGCCTCTCCCCTCTCACCCAAGCCTTTAGCTGTCAGATCGGAGTAGGATGCCAAGGCCATGCTCCTAGAGGAATAAGAACCCCTTTGCTTCACCTGTGGCCCAGAGAGGGCAAGAGACTTGCCTAAAGTCACACAGCAAGGGTATCAGAAATGGTGGGGAATGGGAGTCACGGGGGAAGGGAAGGAAGGTGAGGGATTGCACCCTGGGCTCACAGGTGAGGCTGGCGCGCACCCCCACTGCCTGCTGTCCTCATTTGCTCCTTCCTTTCCTCATAAACACTCCTTCAGCCCCCACTGCCTGGCTCTGTTTTGCTCCCTCCACTCAAACTGGGGGCCCCCCGCAACTCCCCAGCGTGCCCAAAGGAGCTTTAACCAGGAGCCCTGGGGGTTTGGGTTTGGGGTCTGCTGTGCGCCTGAGGCTGACTTGCTGCCTCCTTTGGCCTGAAGAGTGAGAGGGTAGGCTTCCTCCCACTCGGAGAGAATGCTCTGACCCCACAGCTCGGGCTCCAGCCTCTTCCATCCAGCCTGCCCCTGCCGCAAACTGTCTTCCCAGGCAGCAGCAGCCTCTGGGAGGCAGGCACTCCGATGGTCTCTGCTGGACGGGTGACAAAACTGGCACAGATGAGTTAAATTTATCTCCCAAGGTCACCCGGCTAATAAGTGGCAGACTGGCCCTTGCTCCCCCAAACCTCTAACCCCTGGCTCCCTGTGACCCCAATTCCACCTCCTTTTTTATTTATTTATTTATTTTTTTGAGACAGAATCTCACTGTGTCACCCAGGCTGGAGTGCAGTGGTGCAATCTCGGCTCACTGCAACCTCTGCCACCCGGGTTCAAGCGATTCTCCTGCCTCAGCCTCCAAAGTAACTGGGATTATAGATGGCATACCACCACACCCAGCTAATTTTTGTATTTTTAGTAGAGATAGGGTTTCACCATGTTGGCCAGGCTAGTCTTGAACTTCTGATCTCAAGTGATCTGCCCGCCTCGGCCTCCCAAAATTCTGGGAGTACAGGCGTGACCCACCATGCCCAGCCCCAATTCCACCTTCTTCCCACTGCTCAGTCTCCTGGCTGCTTCCTGGGGCCACTACTCTCCCCTCCTAACCCTCTCTGCAGCTCTCACAGCTCCCTCCATCTGCACTGTCCACTATACCTGCTGCCCCTAAAGACCTGGGCATTTCAGGTGCTCCTCCCACCAAGAACCTGACCAGCCCATGGGGGTTAATGCGGGGCACTGAGTCTAAAGGTTGCACATTCCCCTTCCTGCCACCCTGAGGTCTGAGGCCAAGAAAACCATCTTGCTGGAGTGACCACTAGTAATCTTGCGGAGTTTTCATGAGGATAATGACATCATACCTGAAAAGCCCACAGCAGAGCTTGGCTTATAGAAAGAACTCTTCAAACCCTTATTGTGTGGAGGGGTTAGGGGTTAGTTCTGAGTGGGGAGGACTAAGCTGGGTTAGTCCCTGGTGAGGGGTCTTCTGAGGGACCTCTCCCCTTTTCCCCTGCTGGCACCTGGGAGGGAAGGAGAGAGGAGGGCCGAGAGGAGTGGCCTCCTGCTGCCAGCTGCTCAGTCTGCTTCTTTCCGCAGATGGAGCTGAAGGCGGGGAAGGGGGCTGGGGAGCGGGCAGGGCCCGACTGGAAGGCAGCCCTACAGAGGGAGCGTGAGGAGCAGCAGCACCTCCTGGCTGAGTCCTACAGCGCTGTCATGGAGCTGACGCGGCAGCTGCAGATCAGCGAGCGCAACTGGAGCCAGGAGAAGCTGCAGCTGGTGGAGCGGCTGCAGGGTGAGAAGCAGCAGGTGGAGCAGCAGGTGAAGGAGCTGCAGAACCGCCTAAGCCAGGTGAGGCCCACCCCTGCCAAGCTACTTCCACCCGCAAGGGAGAGTTGCTACAGAAATGATTCAGAAGCAGGAACTCCTTCAGGTATAGCTGGATCTAGGTGCTCATCCAGTGAGGTCTGGCACAGCATCTCCTTCGGGTATAGCTGGATCCAGGCACTTAGAGAATGCAGTGGGAACTAGATCTTCCTTTCTGCCTCTGCCTGTCAGGCCTGCTTTCCTCTGTGTTAGCTTTACTCTTAAACAAGCTGTTCCCAAATATGGCCACCATTAGTTTCATGCTCATATCTTACAGCTTAGCAAGTACAGTGGATTGGCCAGATATGGGTCATGTGCCCATCCCTGGAGCCTACCCAAACTCAGGAACCAAGAGGGAGGAACTAAGAGTGGTTCCCATGGGAAAATTGGGAGGCCTTCAATCAAAAGAAGGAGGAAAGGAAAAGCAATCATTGACCCTCACTCCCCATTATAGTTCACTTCATGCAGCCAGCCGCCACCTACCATATGCTGCTCTGCTCCACTCTTGATTTTGACTTTTCCCTTCCTTTCACTTATATTTTTATTTACTTATTTATTAGAGTGCAGTGTGCACGCTTGGCTCACTGCAGCCTCCGCCTCCCAGGTTCAAGTGATTCATGCGCCTCAGCCTCCTCAGTAGCTGGCATTACAGGCGTGTGCTACCACGGCTGGCTAATTTTTACGTTTTTAGTAGAGATAGGGTTTCACCATGTTGGCCAGGCTGGTCTCGAACTCCTGGCCTCAAGTGATCCTCCCGCCTCAGCCCCCCAAAGTGCTACGATTACAGGCGTGAGCCACCATGCCCAGCCTTACTTTTATTTTATTTTTTTAAATTAATTTATTTTTTCTTTGAGACAGTCTCACTCTGTCACCCAGACTGGAATGCAGAGGTGCGATCTCGGCTCACTGCAACCTCTGCCTCCCGGGTTCAAGCAGTTCTCCTGCCTCAGCCTCCTGAGTAGCTGGGACTACAGGCGCTTGCCACCCCACCCGGCTAATTTTTATTTTTAGTAGAGATGGGGTTTCACCATGTTGGCCAGGCTGGTCTCGAACTCCTGACCTCAGATGATCCGCCCACCTCGGCCTTCCAAAGTGCTGGGATTACAGGCGTGAGCCACCGCGCCTGGCCTTACTTTTAATTTTAATCACATAAACCAGGACTTCATCTTTATATAAGGTCCAAATATTACAAAGGCATATTTCAACCTACTCCCTCCATTTCTTGTCATTTTTTGTTAATTAAAAAAATTTTTTTAGGCCAGGTGCAGTGGCTCACAGTAAGAAATGGGGTCTTACTGTATGGCCCAGGCTGGGCTTGAGCTCCTGGTCTCAAGCCATCCTCCTACCTCAGCGTCCCAGGTAGCTGGGCCTTTCTTGCTATTTAAATTTATATTTACAGGGTTTTGTTCGTTTGTTTTAAAATCATTAATCAAGTTGTAATGTCCATTTATTTATACTTTGCCTCTTTCCTGGAGAGCTGTTTACAAAAGAGTACGGAGGCCTTCCTCATTCAGTGTGCCTGGTGCCTGGTGTTCCCAGTGTGGAGATACTATGATTTGTTATCTACAGTGATTAAATCTAGATTGTTTCCAGTTTTTCACTATTGAAAGTTGTGACCTGAAGCTGGATGTGGCAGTGTGCGCCTGTAGTCCCAGCTACATGGGAGGCCGAGGTGGGAGGATTGCTTGAACTCGGGAGATCAAGACTGCAGTGAGCCGTGATTGTGCCACTGCACTCCAGCCTGGGCAACAGAGTGAGACTTTTTTTTAGATAACGAAGGTATCTAAAAAAAGAAAAAAAAGTTCAAGTTGTGCCTCAGTGAACATCTCCACACATATATTTCTGCACACGCATAAATATTTCAGTAGGATAGATTCCTAGAGGTTAAATTGCTAAATCCAAGGGCATAAGCATTTATAGTTGACAGTAACTGCCAGGCTGCCTTCTAGAAAAGCTTTGCCCTTGTACCCTCCCACCAGCTGCACAGTTAGAAGGACGAGAAGGCCCTTTTTGCTTCATCTTTGCCAGTTGCTGTGATTACCAGTCTTTGAAACCTCTGCCCAAATTAGGGTGTGAAATGCTATCTCATTGCTTTACTTTGCATTTCTCTGACTTACTGAAGGTGAGCATTTTTCATGAGTTTATTGATCTTAGGTATTTCCTCTTCCTAATGTTCTCTTCAGTACTTCAACAGCCCTGCAAGGTCACGTTCATGAAACCCCTTTTTCAGATGAGGAGACAGAGGCAAAGTGATTGGCCCAAGGTCATAAAGTGAGTAAGGGAGAGGACCAGAATCTGGCAGAACTCCCAAATCTGGAAAGTTCCTGGTCCTGGGCCATGCGCACTCTCCTGCAGGGACAGAGCTCCTGTGAGGTTCACACCTGCTAGGAGCCTGTGCTTGGGGAGTGCAGGATGGCAGGATGACTAACAAGTTCCAGAACAATCCAGGTACCATGTGGAAAGCAGGTCAGATGCATGCATCTGTTTGCACCATCAAGCCAAATTCCTGTTTGTAAAAGAATAATTCCTTCTTATTTTATTAACAACAAAATATTTCTAAATGTCTAAATATTCTAAATTTCTAAAATGATTTTGAAATCATGAAACAAGCTTCGTGTCATCCCTGGGGGACATATCAGCCCACAGGCATGTCTTGTCAGCTCATCAGGGCACAGATTCCATGTCCTGCTGTTGTTTTCACATCAGGGACTTGCCAGCCCTCTAGCCTCTTGTGTGTCTCTGACATTCCTCTTCCTCCTGCACTTTAAACCAAATCCCCCAAAGCAGCATTCTTTACACTGGACTGACGATTAAGCCAGACTGGTGAAAGTAGCAGAGTGGCTGGTGGGAAAGAGCTTCTGACCAGGAGTCCCCAGTCCTTACCTGGCTCCACCAGGTACAACCCCAGTCAAGTCACCTCTGATCTCTGGGCCTCATCTGTAAAATAAAGATGACCATACTTGACGTTCTCATTTTTCAGGGCAGCTATGGAAATAAAGTGAGATAACCACAAGAATCAAAGTGCTTCCTAAGCCCACCCTTGTCTGGGGCTTGGTTTGATTCTGTGGTCTTCATCTGTCATTGCTGTTCACTGATGTTAGTATTATTTCCCCCCTCCCTTCCTTTCCCTCCCTTCCTCCCTTCTTCTTCCTTTCTTAGTTTCTTTCTTTTCTTATTTTGAGACAAGGTCTTGCTCCGTCACTCAGGCTGGAGTGCAGTGGCACCATCTCAGCTCACTGCAAGCTCTGCCTCCCAGGCACAAGTGATCCTCCCACCTCAGCCTCTCATGTAGCTGGGAGCACACTCTAACACGCCTGGATAACTTTTGTGTATTTATTTACTTATTTATTTTTGAGATGGAGTTTCGCTCTTATTTCCCAGGCTGAAGTGCAATGGCACAATCTTGGCTTACCGCAACCTCCGCCTCATGGGTTCAAGCGATTCTCCTGCCTCAGCTTCCCGGGTAGCTGGGATTACAGGCATGCGCCACCACACCCGGCTAATTTTTTGTATTTTTAGTAGAGACAGGGTTTCTCCATGTTGGTCAGGCTGGTCTTGAACTCCCAACTTCAGGTGATCCACCTGCCTCGACCTCTCAAAGTGCTGGGATTACAGGCGTGAGCCACCATGCCCAGCAACTTTTGTGGTTTTTTTTTTAGACATGGGGTTTCCCTGTGTTGCCCAGGCTGATCTTAAACTGCTAGGCTCAAGTGATCCTCCCACCTCAGCCTCTGGAAGTGCTGGATTACAGTTGTGAGCTGCCACACCTGGCCTAGTGTTATTTTCATTGTTGCCCTGTTTGTCTCATGTTGGGTTTCTAAGAAGCAAAGCTCTAGACATGGATTCAAGTACAAGTAAGGTGACCAACCCATGCCGGCTTGCCTGGGACTGAGGGCATTCCCGAGACTGTGACTTTTAAAACTAGAATAGTCCTAGCCGTAGCCTCCTAGTTTTTTTTAGAACTGAGGGTTCTGGGACATGGGACTTTCAGTACAAACACTGAGAAAGTCCTGGGCAAACCAAGATGAGTTGGTTACCCTGTGTGCAAGTGATTTGTTAACGGATGGAGCCAGGATGGGGAAGGGGAAGAAACCATGTAAGATACGCTTTCAGATGAAATCTGCCCTTGGCCTGACCCCATGATGTGCCCAGCAGTATAAACAGTAAATCACCCCACAGTTTAGTCCACCTTAAGGCAAGGGGTCCACCTTTAGGGCCAGTCTTCTGGACCCCTGTCTTTGTCCGTCATTGGCAGTGATTGGGTCCTGGTTACCCAAGGCAGTCCTCCAGAGAAGGTTGTAGTGCCAGATGGTACAGATGGAGTCACCAGCAATGGGAAGTGCTACACTGTTGTTACTATCATTCACTCAGTCAGCTGCCCGACCTCTTCTCTCAGTCTTGATCCTCTCATCTGCCAAATGGAAATAACCACAGGAACACCTACCATACACAGTTTCTGTGAGAATTAAATTAACTAATGCAGCTGGACGCAGTGGTTCATGCCTGTAATCCCAGCACTTTGGGAGGTTGAGGCGGGTGGATCACCTGAGTCAGGAGTTCAAGACCAACCTGGCCAACATGGTGACACCCCGTCTCTACTAAAAATACAAAAATTAGCCAGGCAAGGTGGTGCATCCCTGTAATGCCAGCTACTCTGGAGGCTGAGGCAGGAGAATCGCTTGAACCTGGGAGGCAGAGGTTGCAGTGAGCTGAGATCGTACCACGGCACTCCAGTCTGGGCAACAGAGTAAGACTCTGTCTCGGAAAAAAAAAAAAAAAAAAAATTAACTAATGTGTGCATAGGAGATGGGTTCCATCACAAGCCACCTGGAGGTGATGGACCTCCAAGAAGGGAGGGAAGCAGAGGCCCCTCAAGGCCCAGCGGGAAAGAGTGCTGGGATCTGTGAATGATGGCCACTGTGGATGGAGCAGTGGGGGTGCCTGGATCTTACATTTGCCACTCTGATTGGATGTGGCTGCTGCTTAGCTGGTCTAGCTGTTCTGTGAATTGTGCAATGAATTCACATAGTAATGGCTGTTCCTATATTAGGTATAATGACATCTAGAAGGATCTCTGCAAGTAATTGCTTTTATTATCCTTTTCCAAATCCACCAGGCAGAGGGGCGTGCTCTGAGCTGCTACCCACTGAGAAGGTGGCCCCTGGTCCATGATGTAGGTTATGTGGGCTGCAGAGTAGAGTCTGGGGAGTGGCTTTGCTTAGAGCGGGGTTCTGCTTACTAGCTTTGCCCATTACCGACCCACCCTCTCTGCCCTTGCCCAGCTGCAGAAGGCTGCGGACCCCTGGGTCCTGAAGCACTCGGAGCTGGAGAAGCAGGACAACAGCTGGAAGGAGGTGAGTGGGGCGGCTGCTGCCATGTTATCTTGGCCCCTGGCTACACCATAAAGGTCCCTGCTCGTGGGGGACATGACAGAAGTTGCTAACCCTGTCTCACAGGTCACACCCTTGCACCTTGGGCCCCTCAGCCCTAGAGTCTGTATCTCATGGTTCCTGCCTCAAAAAAAAAAAAAAAAAAGACAAAGAACACCCAGGGACTGGGCTAAGTGAGGGAGTAGGGTTGAGGAGGGAGAAGACAAGCCCACCGCCAGCTGAGCAGGGGCCACTGGATGCTTTGTTGCAGTCACCACATTTGGATTAAATTCTAAGTGGTCCCTTTCCTTGGGTGGGTCACTCTTGGAGCTCTGATTGGCCCAGCCTGGATGACATTTGGTGGAGGAATTAGATGCAATGGAGCCAGAAACTGACCATGCTAGAATGATGACATCGTTCCTGCTCTCCAGATGAGGAGATTCAGGCATTGAGGTCCGGGCTGGTCTCGCGTTCCACGCCCTTAGTGCTCTCATGGCCGGAACTGACCCTTCCTGTCTCTCCTCCTTGACAGACACGCAGTGAGAAGATCCACGACAAGGAAGCTGTTTCCGAAGTTGAGCTTGGAGGAAACGGGTTAAAGAGGTGCTTGCATCCTGGTCCCCCGCTCTGCCTCTCTGTCCCGCCCCACAGCCTCACCCCTCTTCGCTCCCTGCTGGGCCCTGCACCCACTCTGCCTGCCTTTGCTGCAGCCCTGCCCCGCCCCTTTGCCCTCTTCCTGCTGCCACCCTCCCCGCATCCGAGTTGGGAGAGCATCGGGATATGGTTTCTCTGGAACCTGAACCACGCAGGAGCTGGAAAGCTTGGGGCAGTGGGAATTCCAGGCTGCTGCATGTTGTTTGAGTCTGGGAATGGAACACAGGTGGAAGCAAACCATTTAGCTCCTCTTGGGATTCTTTTCTCCTGTCTCTGGAGTGAGGAGAGTCGAGATGGACCTCCATTCCTGGGATTATTGAGCAGCATCCTTTGGGCCTAGCCCTGTGCTGTGGCCAAGGAAACCCCTACCCCAAGACTGTAAGGACCACGTCTCCACTGTTAGGAAACCCATGAAAGGAGTCAGGGAAACAGAACCCCCAGCTGCCATCAGACCAGCCCAGAAGCAAGGCAGGCAGGACAGGCTGAAGCCAGAGGGCCAGGTTTGAATGCCAACCCTGCCAGTTCTAGCTCTATGACCTTGACCTTGAGCAGTACTTCCCATCTCTGTCTAGTGGGGATGATATGAGCTGCCTCTTGGAGTTCATCAGAGTGGTCTGACACATGCATTTCCATATGCCTGGCATGTTCAGTGATTCAGGCAATATGTGTGCCAGGAGCTTCATGGCGTCTTAGTTTGGGTTCCCCCATAAGCAAACTCTGAGACAAGGATTTAAGTGCAAATGGTTTATTTGGGACAGAATTTCAGGAAACACTTAGAAGTGAGACAGGGAAGGGAAGGCAGCCAATAAAAGGAGCTTCATCCAGGTTATCCCACGGGCAACTGGAGTTCAGGCTGTCGGAGGAACTCAGGGAGCCAGAGTAGAATGTGCAGCTTAGAGTCATCCCGCCCGAGAAACAAGGAGGCTGGGGCACTTGTTCACCATATCCCACCTATTGTTTGTCGAGGGCTGTGTTTAGGGGCATTCACTCCTTAACTCTGTGCTATTTCTAGCTTCGGTTTGGGTTGTTGGTTTTTTTTTGAAATGAAGTTTTGCTCTGTCTCCCAGGGTGGAGTACAATGGCACGATCTTAGTTCGCTGCAACCTCTGCCTCCCAGGTTCAAGCGATTCTCCTGCCTCAGCCTCCTGAGTAGCTGGGGTTACAGGCGCACACCACCACGCTCGGCTAATTTTTGTATTTTTAGTAAGAGACAGGGTTTCACCATCTTGGTCAGGCTGGTCTCAAATTCCTGACCTCAGGTGATCTGCCTGCCTCAGCATCCCAAAGTGCTGGGTCTAGCTTCTTCTATGTGGAGGACAGCCAAGTATGATCCCACAGGCAGAAAAAAAGCCATCAGGTAGAGAATGGTGGAGTATGCAGTTCAGAGTATGCAGTTTTAGGTGTATAGGTGAAAGTACAGAGAGAGGCCAGGTGCAGTGGCTCATGCCTGTAATCCCAGCATTTTGAGAGGCAGAGGCAGGAAGACTGCTTGAGGCCAGGAGTTTGAGACCAGCCTGGGCAACATAGGGAGACCCCCATCTCTACAAAAATTTTTTAAAAAATTAGCCAGGCATTAGGCTGGGCGCGGTGGCTCATGTCTGTAATCCCAGTACTTTGGGAGGCTGAGGCAGGTGGATCACCTGACGTCAGGAGTTCCAGACCAGCCTGGCCAACATGGAGAAACCCCGCCTCTACTAAAAATATAAAAATTAGCCAGACGTGGTAGTGCACGCCTGTAATTTCATCTGCTCCAGAGTCGGAGACAGGAGAATTGCTTGAACCCAGAGGGTGGAAGTTGTAGTGAGCGGAGATCATGCCACTGCACTCCAGCCTGGGTGACAGAACGAGACTCTGTCTCAAAAAAAAAAAAAAAAACCACACAAAATTAGCCAGATATGGTGGTGTACCCCTGTAGTCCCAGCTGCTCTGGAGGCTGAAATGGGAGGATCACTCGAGCCCAGGAGTTTAAGGCTGCAGTGAGCTGTGATATCACCACTGCATTCCAGCCTGGGTGACATTTCAAGACCTGTTTGGGAAAAAAAAAAAAAGAAAGAAAGAAAATGCAGACAGAATGTGGGGCTGGGCACCAACAACATCTTCTACAAGAGGTGAACAAGACAGTCCTGGTCTCTGCCCTCGCGCAGCACACGGACCAGGGTGGTAGACCAGAGTGTGTCCTCAGTGTTACTTCCACTAATAACCACGTTTTCTCCTGCCCTTTGCAGAACCAAATCTGTTTCCTCCATGTCTGAGTTTGAAAGTTTGCTCGACTGTTCCCCTTACCTTGCTGGCGGAGACGCCCGAGGCAAGAAGCTGCCTAACAACCCTGCCTTTGGCTTTGTGAGTTCTGAGCCTGGGGATCCAGAAAAAGACACCAAGGAGAAGCCTGGGCTCTCATCGAGGGACTGCAACCACCTGGGTGCCCTGGCCTGCCAGGACCCCCCAGGGAGGCAGATGCAGCGCAGCTACACAGCTCCCGACAAGACGGGCATCCGAGTCTACTATAGCCCCCCGGTGGCCCGGCGCCTGGGAGTCCCTGTGGTTCATGACAAAGAGGGCAAGATCATTATCGAGCCCGGCTTCCTCTTCACCACAGCCAAGCCCAAAGAGTCGGCTGAGGCTGATGGGCTGGCTGAGAGCTCCTATGGTCGGTGGCTCTGCAACTTCTCACGGCAGCGCCTAGACGGAGGCTCAGCCAGCAGCCCCTCAGCAGCCGGGCCTAGCTTCCCAGCGGCCCTGCATGACTTCGAGATGTCAGGCAACATGAGTGATGACATGAAGGAGATCACCAACTGCGTGCGCCAGGCCATGCGCTCCGGCTCGCTGGAGAGGAAAGTGAAGAGCACGTCCAGCCAGACGGTGGGCCTGGCCAGTGTGGGCACACAGACCATCCGCACGGTCAGCGTGGGCCTGCAGACCGACCCACCCCGCAGCAGCCTCCACGGCAAGGCCTGGTCACCTCGAAGCTCTTCACTCGTGTCTGTGCGCAGCAAGCAGATCTCCTCCTCCCTGGACAAGGTCCATTCACGCATCGAGCGGCCCTGCTGCTCCCCCAAGTATGGCTCGCCAAAGCTCCAGAGGCGGTCTGTGTCCAAGCTGGATAGCAGCAAGGACCGCAGCCTGTGGAACCTGCACCAGGGCAAGCAGAACGGCTCGGCCTGGGCCCGCTCCACCACCACGCGGGACAGCCCTGTATTGAGAAACATCAATGATGGACTCTCCAGCCTCTTCAGTGTGGTGGAGCACTCAGGGAGCACGGAGTCTGTCTGGAAACTGGGCATGTCTGAGACGCGGGCCAAGCCCGAGCCTCCCAAGTATGGCATTGTGCAGGAGTTCTTCCGTAATGTGTGCGGCCGGGCACCAAGCCCCACCTCGGCAGCAGGAGAGGAGGGCACCAAGAAGCCAGAACCCCTCTCCCCAGCCAGCTACCATCAGCCGGAGGGTGTGGCCAGGATCCTGAACAAGAAGGCAGCCAAGTCGGTCAGCAGCGAGGAGGCCAGACTCACCATGCTCCCCCAGGTGGGGAAGGATGGTGTCCTCCGGGACGGAGATGGAGCCGTGGTCCTTCCCAGTGAGGTAGGTGGGTGGGATCTGTCCTTTCTCTTGGTAGGTGGAGTTAGTATATAAGGTCCAAGCTCTTTGGGTTTTTAAGTTCAGAAGTATGGGCTGAGGCGGGCGGATCACCTGAGATCAGGAATTTGAGACCAGTCTGGCCAACATGGTGAAAACCCCATCTCTACTAAAAATACAAGAATTGGCCGGGCGTGGTGGCGGGGCGATATGGCAGGGACGAAAAAAAAAAAAAAAAAAAAAAAAAAAAAAATGGACCGATGTGCGTGGCCGATGGCCTGCTCCAGCTGGGGCAGGGCGTCTCAAAAAAAAAAAAAAAAAAAAAAAAAAGGGGGGGCGTCCTGTCATCCCAGCTACTCTGGAGGTTGAGGCAGGAGAATTACTTAAACACAGCAGGCGGAGGCGGCAGTGAGCTGAGATTGTGCCACTGCACTCCAGCCTGGGTGACAGAGTAAGACTCCGTCTCAAAAAATAGATATATATATTTTTATATTTTTTTATCTCTATATATGTATATAGATGTTTATATGTTTATATATACATATATAGAGATAAAAATATATAAATATATATAATATAAATATATTTTTATAAATATATAATATATAAATACATATATAAAATATATAAATATATATTATATAATATATATAATATATAAATACAATATAAACATATATTTATATTATACTTATTTATATATAAATAGATATAAATAATATAAATATATCTATATGTTTATATCTATTTATATATCTTTATATATATATAAATAAAATAAAAATTCAGGGATATGGCCATGTGTCCCAGGAAGTTCTTATGCTGGTCTGGGGATAGAGTTGGAAGGTCCCAGACCTGGAACAACACACACTTGATGGTCACATGGTCTGAATTCCAAGAGACTAGTGAGCATGGCTTAACTAGTAGCTTTTGCACCACCCATCGGAGACTGCCAGCATCCTCTCCAGGGAGGGGGCGTTACTGCTCTCCTGCAACCCGGTGGTGTGTTAGAGCCAGCTTGTTTGGCTTGTGGGAGCCAATTGTCAGCATCACTGTGGTTCTTTGTTTTTTGTTTTTCTGTTTTTTGTTTTTTGTTTTTTGAGATGGAGTTTTGCTCGTTTCCCAGGCTGGAGTGCAATGGTGTGATCTCGGCTCACCGCAACCTCTGCCTCCTGGGTTCAAGTGATTCTCCTGCTTCAGTCGCCCAGGTAGCTGTGATTACAGGCATGTGCCACCACGCCCGGCTAATTTTGTATTTTTAGTAGAGACAGGGTTTTTCCATGTTGGTCAGGCTGGTCTTGAACTCCCGACCTCAGGTGATCCGCCCACCTTGGCCTCCCAAAGTGCAGGGATTACAGGCGTGAGCCACCGCGCCCAACCGCATCTCTGTGTTTAACATGACCTTGGTACCTTGAGATTGGCCGCAGTGGGAGGATTTACAGCATAAAAATTAGTAAACACTACAAATTTGGGCTCCTCCTGTCACTCCTGGAAAACTAATTGTTAAACATTAGCGGACATACCCCCACCCCCATCAAGACTTCACACCTAAGTGCTCATATTTCCTCTGAGAATCTTTTGCTGCACACCCCATTCCTGCTATCAATTTCTTATAAGTTAGTTAGTAAACCTTATTTAAATGTTAGTGAGCATTATTTGAATGTTAGAACGTGCATAAGTTAACTTTGTAGAAAGGGAAGGAAATGTATTTGAAGGTTAGCATATTTTACAAAACCCAAGAGTAGGATCCTAATGACCTCAGCAGCTTCTCCCTGTCTTCCTCTCCTCTCTCTTAAGCTTCACCCTCTCTGATATCATATTCCTCCTTTTTCTCTCTTTCTCTCTCTGTTACATTTGCACAAGGACAGGGTGGGCTGTCCCAGCTCTGGCTTTATAACATTTTCCAGTTCAAGCCCCTAGGAGACACTGACACAAATCCCTCTCCCAATTCTACATTTCTGAAAGAAGGAAACTGATTGGTGCATCTAGAGGCAAGTGTACCCCTTGGTCCAGTCAGCTGTGGCTGGGAGTGGTACCATGTGGTCTGCTGTGGACTCAGTGGGGGCACAGAGACATAAGAAGGGCTATGTGTGGAATGGGCTGTGATGGACTTAAACATTCTACTTTTCTATTATTGTACATTTAGGTGGTCTCTAGTTTTTCCCTATTGTAAATAATGCTGCGGTATAGGCCGAGGGCAGTGGCTCACCCCTGTAATCCCAGCACTTTGGGAGGCTGAGGCAGGCGGATCATGAGGTCAGGAGATTGAGACCATCCTGCCTAACATGGTGAAACCCCGTCTCTACTAAAAATACAAAAAAAAAAAAAATTAGCTGGGTGTGGTGGCGGGTGCCTGTAGTCCCAGCTACTCGGGAGGCTGAGGCAGGAGAATGGCGTGAACCCGGGAGGCAGAGGGTGCAGTGAGCTGAGATCGTGCCACTGCACGCCAGCCTGGGCGGTAGAGCGAGACTCCATGTCAAAAATAATAATAATAATAATAATACTGTGGTGAACATCTTGGTACAAAATCATTTTTTTACATTTCAGACTATTTCCTTAGGTGTAAGTTGCAGAAATGAGATTAAAGGATGAAAGAATAGGCCGGGCGCGGTGGCTCAAGCCTGTAATCCCAGCACTTTGGGAGGCCAGGACGGGTGGATCATGAGGTCAGGAGATCGAGACCATCCTGGCTGACATGGTGAAACCCCGTCTCTACTAAAAATACAAAAAACTAGCTGGGCGTGGTGGCAGGCGCCTGTAGTCCCAGCTACTCGGGAGGCTGAGGCAGGAGAATGGCGTAAACCCGGGAGGAGGAGCTTGCAATGAGCTGAGATCCGGCCACTGCACTCCAGCCTGGGCGACAGAGCGAGACTCCGTCTCAAAAAAAAAAAAAAAAAAAAAAAAAAAGGATGAAAGAATATAAATGTGGCCGGGCGCAGTGGCTCATGCCTGTAATCCCAGCACTTTGGGAAGCTGAGTTGGGCGGCTCCAAGGTCAGGAGTTTGAGATCAGCCTGGCCAATATGGTGAAACCCTCTCTCTACAAAAATTAGACGGGTGTGGTGGCGGTCGCCTGTAGTCCCAGCTACTCAGGAGGCTGAGGCAGGAGAATCGCTTGAACTCAGGAGGCGGAGGCTACAGTGAGCCGAGATGGCACCACTGTGCTCCAGCCTGGGTGACAGGTGAGACTCCGTCTCCACAAAAAAAGAATATAAATGTTTTAAAGTTATTTGTTAAATACTGCCAAATTGTTTTTCAAAAGTGTGCCATTTCTACAGCCTCCAGCAGTGTGTGGCGAGTGCATTACTTTTCTATACTCTCAGTCAGCTGGCTGACATTTTAAAACATCTCTTAAATATTTATTCCTTTTTTGGCCAGGCACAATGGCTCATGTCTCTAATCCCAGCACTTTGGGAGACCGAGGTGGGCAGATCACTTGAGCTAGGAGTTCAAGACCAGTCTGAGCAACATGGTGAGATCTCATCTCTACATTAAAAAAAAAAAAAAAAAAGCGGCCAGGCACGGTGGCTTACGCCTGTAATCCTACCACTTCGGGAGGCCAAGGCAGGTGGATTGCTTGAGCTCAGGAGTTCGAGACCAGCCTGGGCAGCAAAGTGAAACCCCATCTCTACTAAAAAATATAAAAAATTAGCTGGGCGTGGCAGCATACACCTATAGTCCCAGCTACTCGGGAGGCTGAGGCAGGAGAATTGCTTGAAGCTGGGAGGCAGAGATTGCAATGAGCTGAGAATGCGCCACTGCACTCCAGCCTGGGTGACAGAGCAAGACTCCCATCTTTTTTTTTTTTTTTTTTTTTTTTTTTAAAAAAAAGGCCAGGCATGGTGGCTCACACCTGTAATCCCAGAACTTTGGGAGGCCGAGGTGGGTGGATCACTTGAGGTCAGGAGTTTGGGACCAGCCTGGCCAACATGGTGAAACCCCGTGTCTACTTAAAATACAAAAAGTATCCGAGTGTAGTGATGAGCGCCTGTAATCCCAGCTACTTGGGAGGCTGAGGCAGGATAATTGCTTGAACCTGGGAGGTGGAGGTTGCGGTGAGCCAAGGCCATGCCATTACACTCCAGCCTGGGCAGCAGAGCGAAACTCCATCTGAGAAAAAAAAAAAAAGCCAGGCATGGTGGTGCTGCGTGCCTGTGGTCCCAGCTGCTTGGGAGACTGAGGAGGGAAGATCCCTAAAGCCCTGAGGTTGAGGCTGCAGTAAGCCATGATTGTGCCGGGGCAACAGAGCGAGAGACCTTGTCTCCAAAAAGAAAAAATATATTTATTTCTTTTTTTGTAATTTTTTTTTTTTTTTTTTTTTTGAGACAGTCTCACACATTCTGTCACCCAGGCTAGAGTGCAGTGGTACGAGCAACCTCCACCTCCTGGGTTCAAGCAATTATCCTGCTTCAGCCTCCCAAGTAGCTGGAACTGAAAGCCTGAGCCACCGCGCCTGGCTAAGTTTTGTGGTTTTTGTAGAGACGGGGTTTCACCATGTTGGCCAGGCTGGTCTCGAACTCCTGACCGCAGGTGATCCACCCGCCTCAGCCTCCCAAAGTGATGGGATTACAAGCATGAGCCACTGTGCCTGGCCTATTTTTGTAACTTTTGAAAAACTGTTAAGTTTGGCCTGGCGCAGTAGCTCACGCCTGTGATCCCATCACTTTGGGAGGCTGAGGCGGCTGGATCACCTGAGGTCAGGAGTTTGAGACCAGCCTGGCCACCTTGGTGAAACCCCATCTCGCCGGGCGCGGTGGCTCACGCCTGTAATCCCAGCACTTTGGGAGGCCGAGGCGGGCGGATCACAAGGTCAGGAGATCGAGACCACGGTGAAACCCCGTCTCTACTAAAAATACAAAAAATTAGCCGGGCGCGGTTGTGGGCACCTGTAGTCCCAGCTACTCGGGAGGCTGAGGCAGGAGAATGGCGTGAACCCGGGAGGCGGAGCTTGCAGTGAGCCGAGATCGCGCCACTGCACTCCAGCCTGGGCGACAGAGCGAGACTCCGTCTCAAAAAAAAAAAAAAAAAAGAAACCCCATCTCTACTAAAAATAAAAAAAATAGCCAAGCATGGTGGCAGGCGCCTGTAATCCCAGCTACTTGGGAGGCTGAGGCACGAGAATCTCTTGAACCTAGGAGGCAGAAGTTGCAGTGAGCCAAGATCGCACCACTGTACCCCAACCTGGGCAACAGGGCAAAACTCCATCTCCAAAAGAAAACCCCCAAAACTATTAAGTTTAATATTTATACTTAGTATACTGTAAGAGTATAGCTCACTGAATTCTCATAAACTGAACACGGCCATTACAATAGTCTGGGTTCTCTAGAGAAACAGAACCAAGAGGATAGAGAGAGAATAGAGGGCAAGGAGAGAGAGAAAGAGATTGATTGATTGATTATAATGAAATGGCTCATGTGATTCTGGAGTCTGGCAAGTCCCAAGATTTCAGGGTGAATCAGCAAGTGGAGACCCAAGAGAGCCAATGGTTTAGTCCAAAGACCTGGAACCAAGAAAGCTGGTCGTTTAGTTTCACTCCAAAGGCCAACAGCCCAGTGACCTAGAAAGAGCAGATGTTTTACTTCAAGTCTGAAGGCAGGGCCTCACAGTGGCTCACACCTATAATCCCAACACTTTGGAAGGCCGAAAGAGGTGGATTGCTTGAGACCAGGAGTTTGAGACCAGCCTTGCCAACATAGCAAAACCCTGTCTCTACTAAAAAAATACAAAAATTAGCTGGGCATGGTGGTGCGTGCTTATAGTCCCAGCCACTTGGGAGATTGAGGCATGAGAATTGCTTGAATCCAGGAGGCAGTGAGCCAATATCGCACCACTGCACTCCAGCCTGAGCAAGAGAGTGAGACTCTGTCTTAAATAAATAAATAATAAAGTCTGAAGGCAGGAAAAAAGCAAGTGTCTCAGTCTGAAGGCTGTCAGGCAGGAAGAATTCTCTTACTTGAGGGAGAGTAAGCCCTCTTGTTCCGTTCAAGCCTTTAACTGACTGGATGGGGTTCATGTTAAGGAGAATTTACTTTTTTTTGAGACGGAACCTCACTCTGTCATCCAGGTTGGAATGCAGTGGCGTGATCTTGGCTCACTGCAACCTCTGCCTCCCAGGCTCAAGCGATTCTCGTACCTCAGGCTCCCAAGTAGCTGGGATTACAGGCACATACCACCATGCCTGGCTAATTTTTTATTTTTAGTAGAGATAGGGTTTTACCATGTTGGCCAGGCTGGTCTTAAACTCCTGATCTCAAGTGATCTGCCCACCTCAGCCTCCCAAAGTGGTGGGATTACAGAGGTGAGCCACTGCGCCTGGCTGAGAATTTCGATGTTAATCTCATCTCAAAACACTCACAGAAACACCCAGAACAATGTTTTACGTAATATCTCGGCACCCAGTCATGTTGATATATAAAAGTAACCATCACTTCCACATAACCAGTACCACATCAAGAAACAACAGCACAAAGCTGGCTGGATTTTGAATGTTGATTTTAAAGTTGATCCAAATATTGTCCAGTATGTAAAGTGTGCATGCTACCCATTGACCCAGTAGTTCTTTTAGGAATGTAGCCTGTGGAAATATTCACAAACATGGATAAAGAAAAATAAAAAGAGGCTAGGCTCACGCCTGTAATCCCAAGGCTTTAGGAGGCCGAGGCAGGCAGATCACCTGAGGTTGGGAGTTTGAGACCAGCCTGACCAACACCGAGAAACCCCATTTCTACTAAAAATACAAAATTAGCCGGGCATGGTGGCGCATGCCTGTAATCCCAGCTACTTGGGAGGCTGAGGCAGGAGAATCACTTAAACCCGGGAGGCGGAGGTTGCGATGAGCTGAGATTGTGCCATTGCACTCCAGCCTGGGCAACAAGAACGAAACTCCATCTCAAAAATAAATAAATAAATAAATAGAAAAATAAAAAGAGAGAGAGGGGAGGAAATCAAAGCTCAAGAGAGGTTAAGTAACTCTGCCAAGGTCACACAGCTAGTAATTGGCAAAGCTGGGATTTTAACCAAGCAGCTTGGCCTTCTAAAACATCCGGCAGCACTTTTTAATTTTAATTGTATTTATGGTATTTATTTATTTATGGGGTTCATGTACAGGAGTCTCACTCTGATTTGCCAGTGCTGGTAGAGGTTATTATTTTTTGAGACAGAGTCTCACTCTGTTGCCCAGGCTGGAGTGCAGTGGCACAATCTCGGCTCACTGCAAGCTCTGCCTCCTGGGTTCACGCCATTCTCCTGCCTCAGCCTCCCGAGTAGCTGGGACTACAGGTGCCCACCACCACGTCCGGCTAATTTTTTGTATTTTTAGTAGAGACGGGGTTTCACTGTGTTAGCCAGGCTGGTCTCAATCTCCTGACCTCGTGATCTGCCTGCCTCGGCCTCCCAAAATGCTGGGATTACAGGCGTGAGCCACCACGCCCAGGCCTTTTTATTTTTTGAAAAGATGGGGTGTCACTGTGTTGCCCAAGCCAGAGTCCAGTGGCACAATCATAGCTCACTGCTGCCTTGAATTCCTGGGCTCAAAGGATCCTCCTGTCTCAGCCTCCCACATGGCCTAGCCCAGCAGCACTTTTTTTTTTTTTTTTTTTTGAGATGGTGTCTCACTCTCTGCCCCAGGCTGGAGTGCAGTGATGTGGATCTCAGCTCACTGCAACCTCCACCTCCTGGGTTCAAGCAATTCTCCTGCCTCAGTCTTTGAGTAGCTGGGACTACAGGTGCGTGCCACCATGCCCAGCTAATTTTTGTATTTTGAGTTGAGATGGGGTTTCACCATGTTTGCCAGCCTGGTCTCAAACTCCTGACCTCAGGTGATCCACCTGCCTTAGCCTCCCAAAGTGCTGGCATTACAGGTGTGAGCCACCATACCCAGCTGCCCAGCAGCACTTTTTTTTGTTGTTTTTTTGTTTTTTTTTTTGAGATGGAGTCTCTCTGTTTCACCCAGGCTGGAGTACAGTGGTGCAATCTCAGCTCACTGCAGTCTCCACCCCTCCTGGGTTCAAGCGATTCTCCTGCCTCAGCCTCCTGAGTAGCTGGGACTATAGGTTCACGCCACCACGCCCAGCTAATTTTTAGTAGAGATGGGGTTTCACCGTGTTGGCCAGGATGGTCTCGATCTCCTGACCTCGTGATCTACCCGCCTCAGCCTCCCAAAGTGCTGGGATTACAGGCATGAGCCACCACGCCCAGCAGCAGCACTTTTGATCATTATTTCTGTTTATTGGTAATAGTAAAAAATTAGAAACTACCCAAATGTACATCAAAAGTGAATTTGGGCCAGGCACAGTGGCTCACGCCTGCAATCCCACCACTTTGGGAGGCTGAGGTGGGCAGATCACTAGAGGTTAGGGGTTTGAGACCAGCCTGACCAACATGCTGAAGTCCCATCTCTACTAAAAATACAAAAATTAGCTAGACGTGGTGGCACACGCTTGTAATCTCAGCTACTTGGGAGGCTGAGGTGCAAGAATCACTTGAACCCGGGAGGTGGAGGTTGTAGTGAGTCAAGATTGTGCCACTGCATTCCAGCCTGGGCAACAGAGCAAGATTCTGTCCAAAAAATTAAAAAATTTAAAAAGTGAATTGGGTACATAAATCAGTTATTTCTATCTGGTGAAATGGTATAGAGACACTAAAAAAGAAGGAGATTGGACAGGCATGGTGGCTCATGCCTTTGGGAGCCTTGAGCACCCAAAGGTGCTAATTCCAGCAGTTTGCGAGGCTGAGGCAGGAGGATCGTTTGAGCCCAGGAGTTCAAGACCAGCCTGAGCAACATAGTGAGACCCTGTCTCAAACGAAAAAAAAGTGATAAAAAGGAAGGAAATCTAGACATACCTAGTGACAGAAAAGTGTTCATGTTTTACAGTTGCAAAATAAGTTGTCATTTTGGTAAATGTATGTTGAGAATCTCTTTGGTGTACAGGACCATGGACAGTGTCCACTGTCCTCTCTGTATAGCCTAGAATATATTACAATGAATATCCATTACTGTTCTAATGGGAGAAGAACAATAGAAAGAAAAAATTGGTCCAGTGAGGAGCTTCAGCCCTTGGGAACTGGTTTATGGCTGAGTCTCAGTTCCTTGCCTGGCTCATCACCCAGCGCACGGTGGCCCATATCTCCTGGCTCCTCTTGACTTCCTGCCTCCCTCTTCCTAGGATGCTGTTTGTGACTGTAGCACCCAGTCTCTCACCTCCTGCTTCGCCCGTTCGTCCCGCTCTGCCATCCGCCACTCTCCTTCCAAGTGCAGGCTGCACCCTTCAGAGTCCAGCTGGGGTGGGGAGGAGAGGGCACTCCCCCCCAGCGAGTGACCGAGCAGCCAAATTCCCCGCCTCAACCAGCCAAGCCCCTGGATAGCAGAAGGGAACCAGCGGAGATGAGACGAGGTGAGGCGAGGGGCTGTGTCCTCAGCATTGCCTGGCCCTGGAGGGACAGCAGCGATGCCACTGCCAGAATGCAGCTTTCATATCAAGGTAAAGCCGGGTCTCCTGCTGGCCCCTGGGTGGTTAGCTCCGACTTCCCAGGGGAAGGCAGTGAGTGGGAGAGAGACCAAAACTGGGCTTCCCAAGCATCCACTGAGAGATCCGTCAAGAGCCGATCCCTGGGTTCTAAGAGAGAGCCTTGCCTGGTTCTGCCCATGCCTCCCTCTTGGAAGAGCCCAAGAAGGATACATGTCTGGCCATGCCTTTGGGGAAAAGGAGTCAGAGAGATGTTTCCTGCTGACCATCCACCCCTTCATTCAGGAGGAGACACTGCTGAGAAGAACAGGCTTTGCTCTAGGGCTCCATGTTGGGTTCCTGGTGGAGCACTGCTGGGCATCATCACCATCACCTCCTTCTCTCCACCACCTCCTCCTCCCAGGCCCACTGCTCTAGATTGCTGGGACACTAGGGGGCATGATAGGGCAGTAGCCAGGGCCAAGTATCTGCTTGGAGTCCTGGAGCCCTGGATCTCCCTGCCCATAGCCTGGCTGCAGCAAGAGCTGGGAGGCAAAGTGGAAATCTGCAGGGCTCAGGGTTGGGGAGTGATTGCAATTGCCTTCCTTGCCAAAGTGACTTGGGACCCCAATGTTCCCAGCAGACCCTTTGAGGATAGAAATAGGTAGAGTCAGTCTCAAGACCTGGTGCATAGATAAATGCCTGAATACACTGCCTTGATCTTGATCTCAGAGGCCTCTCCCTGGCACCCTAAGAGGGGGTAGGCACTACATCTCCACTGTGTTTACATCCTGCAGCTGGTAGGGGGGCAAAGATATTCCCAGTAAGAGACTCTTGGTTGGCCAGGTCAGGCCCAGGAGAACACCGAGAGGCCAGAGCCCAGGACACAGCAATAGACTGGGGCCTGGAAACATATATCTTGCCTAGATTGTTTATTTGAATTTTTCATACTATAAATATTTAAGGTGATTTACTTTATTTTAATAATTTAATTTACCCCAAAGTCCTTAAGGTAATTTATTGGAGGTTGAAACATGCATTCTTGCCACTGGGACAACATGGGGCTTCTAATGGCATGGACAGCCACGGGGTCCCCCAGGTGGACAAGGCAGCTTGGCAGCCAGGTTTGGAGACCTGGTCTCCTGGTCAGTTTTGGAGGGCCCCTCAACAGAGCTGGAGCCCTGTACCCCAACACTGCTGGCCATGTGGCCTCAGAACACTACTTATTACTCAATGCCTGGTACTTGGCCAACCCCAGCTGTCAGTCTGTAAATACTCACTGACAAGGTGGAGGGCTGAACAGCCATCACCACTCCCCAGACATTCTCCTTGTCTGTCTCATTTCCCTCCCTCCCTCTGACACCTTTCTTCATGAGTTGAATGTGGATTACTAAGGCTCTATCAAGAGCGTGGAGATCCTTCCAAGTTTCCCAAATGAGAACTCGCAGGAAAACAGGACTGAACTTTGATAATGTTGTTTATCGCAGCTTTGCACATGAACCTGAGTGTCTCCCAGCCTGCCTCGGTTCTCACCAGCCTGCCAGCCTTTTCACCAGCCTCTCTCCTTAGCCTTATGGCCTTTCACGGCTCTTCTCCCTGCCCCAGCTCTGCTGCCTGCCCTTTCTCACGTCCTCCGTGAGCTGCCTGAGCTATTGGTTGGATTTCAACGTGGCTCATTGCAGCATGTTGGGGAGTGCCTCCCATGGCCTCCCCTTGGTGCCGGTGAACCCCTTTTGGTTGCACACATGCTCCCCCGACACACATAGACATGCAGCCTTCCTGTAACTGACTGGGGACCCAGAGTGGAAACACCAGGATGGATCAGCTTGTCTGCAGAATTGCCCATCAGGAAGACCAAAAGCCAGTAGCTTTGCTGATTTGCCCCCAGGACTCTGGAGGCGCCCATGCACTCCCACCTCCACCTGCCAGTTCCCAGACCCATCCATTCGGGATCACCTGGACCAGTTACCCCAAGTCCTGCATCTCCCTTCCCTGCAGGCTGAACACCAGGGTCATGCCAGTCCCGCCAGCCACTTCCTCCATGCCCCAGTGACTTGTGTGGGCAGAGCAGGCAGCCAGTGGAGCTGTGGGCCAGTTCCACTCTGGGATGCTGCTGCTCTCACCCATGAGGTCAGGGGGGCCCGCCAAGGTTATCTCCAGGTGAGGGGATTCACATCAGGCCACATGTCACCAGAGGCCTTCTGCCACCTCCCAGAGCGACAGAGAGCCAGGGAGGCTGCGTACCCAGCCTCGGGGAGAAATCCCCGTGGGACATGAGCCCCAAGACCTACGGACCACTCAGCCTTACCATCATACTATCCAAGATTGTCCTTGCCATCTTCGTTGTCTCAGCCAGACCTTGGTTTTCCGTAAAGCCCCAGTTTCTACTTCCTGCATGCCACTGTGCAAGGCCACTCATCACTGTTCCTGCAGAAGCCTCCGGACGTGGGGCTGGATGGGGTTGAAAACGTTACATGTAAATATTGGTTTGGTTCGATTTTTAGCATTTTACTTGGTAACTGGTTGTGTTTTCTTTTTTGGGGTGGGGGGATTGGTTTGTAAAAACTCTCTACTCTTTTAGAATGTAATTTCTAAGTTTGTTTCTTTCTTCAAATGCCTTTTAAGTCTTGGTAACATTCCCAAAGCAGAAAACTGCCTGACCCACAGTGGGGATTCCCTGGAGAATCGGGGTCCCAAGAAGGAATGCTGCCCTTCTCGAACCCTTTCTCCCCCCTTCCTCCTGCCTCTCTGCCTTTTACTGCTAGCCCCTTCCTCCTCCTCCTTTATCCTTCTTTCTCCTTTCCCCATCTCCACTCTCTCTTCAACCAAAGTCCCAAGGAACCCTCGGGTCCCAATCCCCCATAGACCACTTGGCTTGGGTCCATGGGGTTGGCACCAGTTGGTTGGGGGAAATGGGGGACCAGTTGGCATGATTGGTCCTAAACTGGGAAACCTCATGTTTCATATGTCTGACCTCTTTCCAGAGCCAAATCAGCCCCTTTCGGAATGATGACTTCATTGGAATGCAAATCAAGTCATTTCGGTGCATCAGTGGCTCTTAGACCTGCATGCACGAGACATCAGAATCCAATTCCCTGACCCTGTGCCAGCCCTTTCCCCCAGTTTATTTCCCACCAAAGGCTGACCTTAAGAGGTCTTGCTTTCTATGAACTCAAGATGGAGCCCACCTGTAGGCATCTCCAGGGGCACTGTTCTACAAGTTGGCTTCCGATGTGACAAGGCCAAGGGCTCAAAGACCTGACCCTCTTACACCCTGTGCTGACATGGTTCCATCACGTCCACCCACATGCACTTTTATGGTTTCATCACCCAGCCTCTTCTCCTCTGGCCCACCCAGCGTCCAGGCTCTTTCTTCCTCTCCCCTCCTATCTAGAATGTCCCCTGCTTCTAGCCTCACCAGACCCCCCAAGCTCCCACTACTTCTTCCTTAATAATAGTAATAATAATTGTCATCATCATCCCCTACACATCCCACCTAAAGCACTTTACTATTTAGAAAACGTGTCCCCTGGCTGGGCACGGTGGCTCACTCCTGTAATCCCAGCTCTTTGGGAGACTGAGGTAGGCAGATCACTTGAGGTCAGGAGTTCAAGGCCAGCCTGGCCAACGTGTTGAAACCCTGTCTCTACTAAAAGTACAAAAAATGAGCTGAGTGTGGTGGTGCACACCTGTAATCCCAGTTACTCGGGAGGCTGAGGTGGGAGAATCGCTTGAGTCCAGGAGACAGAGGTTGTGGGAGCAGAGATCGCGCCACTGCACTCCAGCCTGGATGACAGAGTGAGACCCTGTCTCAAAAAAGAAATCGTTTCCCACCCCACATCTCCTTCAGACCTCTCAGGGACAACTCGTGGAGGCAGCCTTGGTAGGACATGGGTTAGTGCACCCATTTTGCAGATGAGGAAACTGAGGCACAGTTCTCATCCCAGAGCACAAGAAGTCACACTGAGTTTAGATGAGAACTTGAGTCCAACTCTGTCCTGTTTGCTGTGCAAATCCACTGCCCTACTGGGGGCTTTTTGTGGGTCCAGAATACCCAGAATATGCTGCTGGCCAACCCAGGCATAAAACAAGTCCATTCTAGATCACTGAGCCTGTGTATGCCAGAGGGTGATCTGAGGTCCCCATTCAGCAGAATTCTCTGAGGGCATGTTCAGAATGCAGATTCCTGGACCCCACCTTGAATCTGCATGCTTAACAAACTCTCCTGGGGTTGGGGGGTGGGCGCAGCGGTCACACCTGTAATCCCAGCACTTTCGGAGGCCGAGGTGGGTGATCACTTGAGCTCAGGAGTTCGAGACCAGCCTGGCCAACCTGGTGAAACCCCGTCTCTACTAAAAATACAAAAATTAGCCAAGTGTGGTAGCACATGCCTGTAATCCCAGCTATTCAGGAGACTGAGGCAGGAGAATCACTCGAACCCCGGGGGGAGCAGAGGTTGCAGTGAGCTGAGATTGTGCCAATGTATTCTAGCCTGAGCAACAGAACGAGTCTTGTCTCAAAAAACAAAACAAAACAAAACAAAAACTGCCCTCCCAGAGGGATCCTGGGCACTATTGGCCACACCATTGGTGTTCTTGGCCCTGATCATTAGGCTATCTTTCTTTTTTAAGTTTTTTTAAATTTAGTTTTTATTTTATTTATTTATTTATTATTTATTATTATTACTATTATTATTATTTTAGAGACGGGGGGTCTCCCTATGTTGCCCAGGCTGGTTTCAAACTCCTGGGCTCAAGTGATCTGCCCTTCTTAGCCTCCCAAAGTGCTGGGGTTCCAGGCATCAGCCACCGTGCCAGGTCATCTTCCTTTTTCTTTTTTTTTTTTTGAGACAGAGTCTTGCTCTGTCGCTCAGGCTGGAGTACAGTGGTGCCATCTCGGCTCACTGCAGCCTCCACCTCCCTGGTTCAAGCAATTCTCCTGCCTCAGCCTCCCAAGTAACTGGTATTACAGGTGCGTGCCACCATGCCTGACTAATTTTTGTACTTTTAGTAGAGACAGGGTTTCACCATGTTGGCCAGGCTGGTCTTGAACTCCTGACTTCATGTGATCCACCCACCTTGGCCTCCCAAAGTACTGGGATTATAGGCATGAGCCACCACGTCCAGCCTTATCTTTCTTTTAACCAAGAAACATGATGCCGTATCTTAAAAAGAGCACTAAGCCCTGAGCAGGGACTTAAGGGATCGAGTCCCCAACCAAACTGATTTTCTTACTCAAAAAGGATTTTCAAAAAGGATCAGAGGCTATTTACAATATTAGTCAGAGGGGTTCAATAAAATAAAAATAGGAAGTAAAAAAAAAAGACAAATTATTATCTAAATCTAACTGGTGTAATTCCTATAATCATGCAATTAAATTTTACTCTTGAGTTTCCTGGCAGCCATGGTAAAAAGAGAAACACATCAGGATTTATAATTTTCATCATCCAATTATGGGAAGCAGGCATGTTTGCCCCAGGAGATGAACTCTTCTACTAATTTATAGCATGTATCCTTTCATCTAGGGCCACTGAGCCAGTTGGTGAGTCAACGGGTGAACCTAAGATGCAAGGATGTTTTCCAGGTGACTATTTAAAAAGTAAAAAATCCACCGACGTGAATGACCTTGGCAAGATCATGTGGCTAGTCTATACCTCAGTTTCCCCGTCTATAAAGTGAGGATAACGTCCCACCCCATGTAACTGTGGTGAGGACCAACTGCAACACTGTGCCTGCGAGTCCCCTTGGAAAAGTGTCAGGTTCTACACAAATGGAGAGTGGTCTGACCACACTCAGTGTCCCCAGCCCAGCCTTTCAGTGCCCTGGCCCTGGGGTGGGGGACAATACCCTCCTTACCCCATTCACTAGTCTTCATGAATAGCAAGGAGGCCATAACATAATTTGGTCTAAACCCCTTCCTTTTTAAAAAAATTATGGCAAAATATGCATAACATTAAATTTTCCATTTTAAAGATTTCTAAGTGGCTTGAAGTACATTCACAATGTGTAACCGCCACCTCCAGAACTTTTTCATCACCCCAAACTGAAACTCTGTACCCACTAAACAATAACTCCCCATTCCCCCTGTCCCCAGCCCCTGGTAACCTCTATTCTACTTTTTTTTTTTTCCTCTGTGGATTAGCCTATTCTAAGTATCTCTTTTAAGTAGAATCATACAGTATTTGTCCTTTTGTGTCCAGCGCCCTCATTTTTTGAGATAAGGAATCAGGTCCAGAGAAGGCAGTGGCTCACCCAAGGTCACACAGCAAACCACAGGCAGAGCCAAGACCAGAACCCAGGTTTCCTGACTCCCAACAGGTCTTGCATCCCCAGTAGTGAATGAGACACTGCTTCGACTTTCTGTAATCTTGGTTTAGCCCCTTCCTCTCTCTGGGCTCAGTCTGTTTCCTACCACTCACCCATTCTTTCTTTATCATCTCCCTCCAAAGTCTCTTGTCCTCCTGCCTCCTTTTCTCCTTGGCTGGTTCCTACCAGCAGATGGAGTGGCCCTGGCCCATGCCAGATTTTCTTCTTCTGGGTCTGGGGCTCACTGTAGAATTCAGCCCTCAGTCCTCCCAGGATGTTCTTCCCAGCACTGCTCCCTCCTGCGGATTTTCCTGTAACCTCAGTAACTCGCTTCCCATCCCCCTGCTTCCTACCAGGGAAGCCTTCCTGTCGCGTCTGTGGTTTCCCAGCTCTGATATTTGCTCTCAAATGTGGTGGTGTCCTGGTTCTGTGTTTATTTATTTTGTGTTTTCTCACACCAAAAAAAAAAAAAAAAAAAAAAAAAAAGCCTCTTCCTCCAATGCATCAGGAGGCACCAGCCCTGCCAGGCCTTCTCATTGGGCTCACCCCTCCCCAGCAACCCCTGCGTCCCACCCTTGAGCCATGCTGTCTTCTCTGTAAGCAGCCTGCCAGCAGCAGCCCCAGCACTTTGCAGTGGGCATGTGTGTGGTGGTGGGTGGGGGGCTTGGATCCCTCCTTTTTCCTCCTCTGCCCTGCCCAGTCCCAGATGGCCTTGGTTGTAAAGCAGGTGCTGCCTGACAGGTTCTTCTCTCCCTGTCCCTGGTCATCGATCCATCTCTTTGTCCATTCAGTATCCAACCATCCTCTCCATTCTCCTCTGGACCTCACCACTCTCAGAGCTGCTTGTCCTGGCAGAATCTACAGTTCACCCCGACTCTACCCCTTACCCCTCCCAACCCAACAGTATTTGCAGTTTGCAAAATCCACAGACCCAAGGTCCTAAGGGGAGTGAGGACATGATGCTGGGCCCATGTCTCCTGCTCAGGGCTTCTCTCCACCGCCAGCCCTGCCGCTCCTTCCTCACCCTCCTTGGAGCCTCCTCTGCTGCTTGTCTATCCCAATGGCCCTGCTCCCCTCCCTTCTTGCCCTTCACCAGCTTTCTGGACACCATGCCCTGAGGAAGGGACCTTTAGTTTTCTCTAAACATCTTTGAAGGGCTGAAGCAGTCAGGGCCGGCTGCCTTGTCACTCTTTATTTGGAAGCTACTCAAACCATTCCCAAGAAGAGGGGCCTCAGCTGGCAATCTGGAAACCTGGCCCAGGTCTGGGCAGGTGTCTCCACTTCTCCCACCCTCCCAGTCTTGTGATCCTGTGATGAGCACCAGGATGGTCCTGTGGGCCCTAGAGCACCCCTCCTGCTGTAGGGTTTTGCAGCCCATCCATTCTCTACTGGGCCCTGGTATCCTGGCTTCTCTCAGCTCTGCCGCTGATCTCTGTGCCTTAGTTTACTTCTCTGCACGGGGGACTCACCCCAAGACCATTTCCAGCAGCTTCCCAGGTGATGTCATGCCCCAAGGCTGGGCTTTGCCAGCTGTGACCCAGCTCCTTAGTGCTGCCCAGGAGGCACCAGGTTGCTGAGAATGAGGTGACTGCGGGCACCATTCTCAGCCAGTGGTTCTTGTATTGCATTCCAGCAGCAGGGATATCACCTGGGAACTTGATAGAAGTGCAAATTATTGGCCCCACCCAAGACTCACTGAATTAGAGCTTATGGAGTGGGGCCTTACAAGCTGGGATTTTAAGAAGCCCTCCAGATGATTCTGACATGCATAAGAATATGCCAACTGCTGATCTGGGCTAGCCATTAGTATAGCCTGGGGAGGGACTGGGACTGGCTAGGCCAAGAACAGGTGGAAAACACCACCCTCATCTGGACTCCTGAGATTGGGAATCACCGCCAACAAAAACCAACCCTATAGTCGCTCCTCTCGGAAGAGGAAGAGAAGTTGGAGGGCCTGGAGAAAGCATTCATCGTTTCTTTCCCTGCTTCTGCACTTGTCTCGGTTTTACAAAAGGCTGTGTGGATGGTGCCAGCCAGGGAGGGTGTGGGAGTCCTGGGGAGGCAGGAGGCAGAAGACCCTGACTGTTTATCCCTTGGGAACCTCACCATAGGCCAGATAGCCCCTCTTCAAATGGAAAGAAATCTTAACTCCACAAGGAAAGAAGCTGAAATCCCCAGTTCCTCCTCCTCCCAACCCCAGGGATACCTTGTAGACAGTGCCAAAAAACAGCTCCAACCCCCAGCAGCTGGGAAGAGAGCCAGAAGCTGCCCTTCCTCCTCATCCTGGCCCCTCCCCAGCCCCCGCCAATACTGTGAACCCCCTTCCCACTCAGCCTGGTTTCCTGGTGAGGGTCCTGCAGTCGTGGGCCCTGGGGGACCCCCCAGGGCAAGGCCCATGGGAGGGAAGGGACCAAGGGCATCCTTGGGCCAACTGTCCACCTCTCTTGTCCACTGTTCTCTCCTTTCCACTTCTGTCTTCAAAAGGCTCCTTCCCAGGATGGATCGGGTGCTAGGACAACTGCAGTCCAATCCACCAGCTCTCCCTGCCCCTGTGTCTTATTTCAGACATGAGAATAACTGTACAGTGTAAACTTATAAAGCGTTTTTAATGGTTGTAGATTGGAAATAAAGTATGTCATATGAACAGTTGCTGTGGACTTGGCCTCCTCTCTGATTTTTCTAATGAAGTGGGTGGGGGCCCCAGCAGATTTGAAACCTAACTTTTCCCCACTCCCAGCTGCCTGGGAAGTGGGGAGCCCAGGGAGTGCCACAGCCACTGGCTGGTTTGAAGGCACGTGGGAGGGGCCACCAGGTGTTCTGGCTGCTGCCTGCTGATACTTCGTTTCCCACACAGTGTGATGTGAACACTGAGAAACAAATGCAGTCTTCAAAAAGAAGAAAAATAGAATTGAACCACAAAGGACTTTAACAATTTTATGCAAAAAAAAGATACTTTTAGATGTGTGTCAATTGTCTATTGAAATGTAATTAATTATTCCGAAACATTTCTTATACCCCACAGATGCTATGGGTCAGGAATTCGGGAGCTGGGTAGTTCTGATTCAAGGTCTCAGGAGGTTGCAGTCAGTTGTCAGTCAGGCTACAGTCATTTGAATGCCTGATGGACTGATGGACTGGAAGATCCATTTGCAAAGTAGCTACTTCTCATGGCTGGCAAGACAGTGCTGGCTGGCTGCAGGAGGCCTCAGTTCCTCACCATGTGGACCTCTGTAGGACTGCTTGCGTGCCTTCACAACATGGCGGCTAGCTTCCCCCACAGCATGTCATCTGTGAGAGAGCAGGGAGGAAGTCATGATGTCTTTTATAGCTAACCCTTGAAAGTCACAGACTAGGCCTGGCGCAGTGGCTCACGCCTGTAATCCCAGCACTTTGGGAGGCCGAGGCGGGTGGATCACCTGAGGTCGGGAGTTCGAGACCAGCCTGACCGACATGGAGAAACCCCGTCTCTACTAAAAATACAAAATTAGCTGGCTGTGGTGGTGCATGCCTATAATCCCAGCTACTTGGGAGGCTGAGGCAGGATAATCTCTTGAACCTGGGAGGCAGAGGTTGCTATGAACCAAGATCGCACCATTGTACTCTAGCCTGGGCAACAAGAGCAAAACTCCGTCTCAAAAAAAAAAAAAAAGTCACAGACTATAATGTCTGCAGTATCTAATTGGTTATATAGACCAGCATTCTTCAGCATGGGAGGGGACTACACAATGGCATGAACACCAGGAAGCAGGGATCATTGGGGGCCATCTTAGAAGCTGACTACATGATACTTTCATGTATCTCTTTTATGAGGGGCTAACAACAGCCAGGCATGTGCTGGGTATTGAGGATACAATGGATGGGCCTGGAAGATATGAAATCAAATGTCAATGGCAGGGGGAGCCCAGGGTGCTCAGCCAGCCCAGAGGAAACAAGAAAGGCTTCACAGAGGAAAGGACATCTGAATGACACCTAAAATTGAGATGTTGACCAGATGAAGGCCATGGTGGTGTGTTGTAGGCAGGAGACTGAGGGGAAGTGGTTCCAGGGAGAGGGAATAGCATGTGTGAAAGCCTCGTAGAAAGAGAGCAGAGCAGAACTGGGGAACTGAAAGAAGAGGCTGGGTCAGATCACACAGTGCCTTTTTTCTTTTTCCTTATTTTTTTTGAGCTGAAGTCTTGCTCTGTTGCCCAGACTGGAGTACAGTGGCATGATCTCAGCTCACTGCAACCCCGGCCTCCCAGGTTCAAGTGATTCCCCTGCTTCGGCCTCTCAAGTAATGGGGATTACGGTGCATACCACCACGCCCAGCTAATTTTTGTGTTTTTAGTAGAGATGGGGTTTTGCTATGTTGGCCAGGCTGCTCTCTAACTCCTGATCTCAAGTGATCTGCAGGCCTTGGCCTCTCAAACTGCTGGGATTAGAGGCGTGAGCCATCACACCCAGCCCAATGACACAGTGCCCTATAGGAGAAAACAAAAAAAAAAAATGTGTGCCTGCTGTGGACAGGAGGGAGCCATGCAGCAACTCAAAGCAGGGAAATGATGTAGAAGATGTATTGGGTCTGGATTCCATGAAATCATTTTCTCACAGTGCCCCAGGATGGCCAGCCCTAGCTGGGAAGGAACACTGAGTTCTCTTCCTGGGACATTGACAGAGAGGAGTTTAAGAGGCAGGCAAACATAAAAGGAACTGGGTACCTCTCAACCCCAGAAAGTGATATTCAGGGAGCCAAGGGCAAATCTCTGCTTTCAGAATGGCTGCTGCAGTCAGCAGGCTGGAACCACAGGGTGGAAATTTCAGGCAGGCAGATTTTTGTCTCCCACCAGAAAATTTTTCCAAGGGCCACAACTGCCATGGAAGGATGACCACAGTCAGCTCCAGTTGCCTCTCTCCAACCCCTCTTTTGGACTTCGTGGGCTACTTACAATTCAATATTTGGAAGTTTCCTTGTGAAAGAAAGGACTGTGCACATCCAAGGGGACATTTTGGTTGCATCATGCTGACTGCTGAGGAAGCAGCCCGCTCTCTGGAGCCTCCTAGGCCAGCATGGGATAGTGGAGCAGGCACAGGTTGGGCTCCTGGGAGCACAGAAAGGACAGTTGGTTTTCAGCCTAAGGCCAGAAAGAAGGCTTGGAGAGAAATCAATCATTCCTTAGCTAAGGCTTAAAATTGGAGGATGTGGCCGGGCACGGTGGCTCATGCCTGTAATTCCAGCACTTTGGGAGGCCGAGGTGGGTGGATCACGTGAGGTCAGGAGTTTGCGACCAGCCTGGCCAACATGGCAAAACCCCGTTTCTACTAAAAATAAAAAAAATTAGCCAGGCATGGTGGTGGACGCCTGTAATCCCAGCTACTCGGGAGGCTGAGGCGGGAGAATCGCTTGAACCCGAACCCGGGAGGTGGAGGTTGCAGGGAGCCAAGATCGCACCACTGCACTCCAGCCTGGGCGACAGAGCGAGACTCCGTCTCAAAATACAAAAAAATTGAAGGATGTCGCCACGAAAAGCAGGGAAAGCCTTCCCAGGCAGAGGGAAGAGCGCCTGGGAATACAGCGCCTCAAAGGGCACCTGCTGCCCTGTCCCCGTCGTGCCCCTAGGCCCAGCCCGACCCGCCGCACCCACGGGCCCCGACCGTGGACACTGCAACCACAGGGGGCGCTGCGACCTCCTCCCGGGTGAAATGAAACCCGAGGGCAGGCCCCCCCTCCACCAAGCAAGTAAAGCAAGCCGTTTGAGGGGGTGGCCTGGAAATGAGAGAGAAAAAGTCCTAGAGCAGCAGTGGGATAGACTGAGGCAAACTGAGCTCAGAGCTCCAGTCCCCCCTGGGGAGAGTCACGGTCCACATTTTGGGAGTTAAGAAGATAAAGGGAGTGGGAACCAGAGCCTAGCAACGGGGACAGGCCATCAGATGCCTTTTGAGGCGCTGCATTCCTCCGGCAAGAATCTCTCCGGGCCTCTGTTTCCCCCATCTTAGATGGCTCTGGGGCCGTCGGGCGCAAAAGGACACGATAGTGTGGCGGGTCCCGGAAAGGGACTCCCCGGGCGGAGTGTTGGAGGGAGGTGGTGACGTAGCCGGACAGGACCTAAAGGAGTTGGACAAGAGGAGCGGAGGTGGCAGGAGCGTTGGACGGCGGTGTACGCATGCGCATCCTCAGACGCAGGCGTTCTGCGCGCGCGTGCCCGAGAAGCTGACGGTCGCGCATGCGCCCTTGGTTGGCGGGAGTTTCGGAGGCGGTGACAGTGACGTAGAAGGCGGAGACCGCTTGACCCCGAGCAGGGAGGGTCTGCTGCAGGGGCGCAAGGCGTCCAGGAGTGACCTGGGGCTGTGGAGCGGGACCCGTGGCCTTGTGTTTCAGGTACGGAGGCTCCGGACTGGACGGGCGTCGCCCTGAGGTCAGGAAGTCACAGGCTTGTTCTCTGATGGGGCCCCGCCCGCCGCCGCACTAATCTCTTTGGCGTCGTACTTCTCGGCCCAGCTCGACCCGCCGCACCCCCGGCGGCGGGTCACTTGAGGCCAGGACCTTGGACACTGGGAGGCCCCGGGGGCACTGCGAGCTCCTCCCAGGTGAAGTGAAACCCAGGGGCAGTCCCCCTTACCAACCCCATTAGAGATGTATCTGCCGAGCCAGGGGTCTAGGCTCCAGAAACAGGGGTGAGGACTAGGCAGAGGCCTGGGGTGACAGGCCTGGGTTCGAATTTTCCTTCTGCCCCCAGGCTGGCTGTGTCACAAGCTTGGGCCAGGCTTTTTGCCCCTCTGAACCTCAGTTCCCCTGTCTGCAAAGTGGAGTTAATGGTGCTTACGGAGTTGTGGAAAGGATTAAGTGGAATAACGACGCAGGTAAAGCGCTTATGTAGCACAGATTCTAGCACAGAATAAGCATTTAACAGTTGACAGTTGTTGCTTTTCTAAGCTTGGATCTGTGTGATACAATCGTTATTATCCAAGTCTGGATCTGTGTGATACGATCATAAGGACTGTGGAGGATTCAGATCCTTGACCGACCCCTCCTTGTTATCTTTTCCTTTTTGTCCCTCTGCATATATTCATATCTTTTTACTTAGCATCACCCACAGACGGATTTCTGCTGGGAGGGAGGGGACGATGAAGAGATGCCTAGGTCACATCCCTGCATTCTTCCAGTCAGTTGTTCATGACAGGCACTAGGAATACAAATACAGCCTGGCTGGGGAGACAGATATGTAAACAAATTTTATAGCCAATGCTACGAAGGCCAAGGGGCGTAGCCACCAACTCTGCCAAAGAGAAGTGATGTGAAAGCTTCATATTTGAGCTAGGTTGGGAAGGATGAATAAGTTTAACAGGTAGAAGGACAGATATGTGCAAAGATTCAGAAGTAATACAGGGAATAGGAGTGGGAGGAGAGAGCAGGAATGGGTAAATTGGGGCTAGTTTACCTAAGGTGTTGAGTACCCTTTGGAAAAGTCCCGGCAGCTGTCTAAGGAATAGACTGGGCCGGGCATGGTGGCTCAGGCCTGTAATCCCAGCACTTACAAGTCTTTTATAGCTAACCCTTGAAAGTCACAGACTAGGCCTGGCGCAGTGGCTCACGCCTGTAATCCCAGCACTTTGGGAGGCCGAGGCGGGTGGATCACCTGAGGTCAAGCGTTCGAGACCAGCCTGGCCAATATGGGGAAACCCCATCTCTACTACAAATACAAAAATTAGCTGAGTGTGGTGGCGGGCACCTGTAATCCCAGCTACTCAGGAAACTGAGGCAGGATAATTGCTTGAACCTGGGAGGTGGACGTTGCAGTGAGCCGAGACTGCGCCACTGCACTCCAGCCTCGGTGACAGAATGAGACTCCACCTCAAAAAAAAACAAAAACAAAGAATAGACTGGAGAGGGGCAGCTGGAGGTAGACAAACTAGTGGAGAGACTGTTAGATAGTGGGAGGGACCAGAAATTATGAGACCTGAACTAAACTAGTAACAGTGAGGCTGGGCGTGGTGGCTCACGCCTGTAATCCCAGGACTTTGGGAGGCCTAGGCTGGTTGGTCACTTGAGGCCAGGAGTTTGAGACCAGACTGGCCAACATGGGGAAACCCTGTCTCTACTAAAAATGCACAAATTAGCCAGGCATGGTGGTGCACGCCTGTAATCCCAGCTACTCAGGAGGCTGAGGCAGGAGAATCACCTGAACTGGGGAAGAGGAGGTTTCAGTGAGCCAAGATTGCGCCACTGCACTCCAGCCTGGGCAACAGAGCAAGACCGTGTCTCAAAATAATAAATAAACCAGTAACAGTGAGAATGGATAAAAGATTTAGAGACTGTTTATAGAACAGTTAGGACTTTGGATCTGGAGAACTAAGAATGAGAAGTAATGGATGATGTGGTTTTTCTAGTTTGGAAGACCAGGTAGACCATAATGTCATCAATGGAATTAGGGACTAGTTAAACACAAAGTAACTGGGAAGTAAGGTAGCGTGTGTGTTCAGGGAGATTTGAATATTTCTAGCAATAAAGTGTATAGAAATTCAGAAGAGGAGGTGATGGCCCCTGCTGATATTCTCTGTCAGGAAGGTGGACAAGGGTAGCTCGGAGAGGCAGGAAAGCACACGGCCTAAGACTGCAGCTGAAATGTGAAGAACAGATCACTTCATTTTCCTATTTTCAGAGTTTCCCACCTAGGATGACTTCAGTGACTAGATCAGAGATCATAGATGGTAAGTACTATAGTGAAATTCAGTACCTCTTACCTTGGGTTCAGGCTTCTGAGCTATACCCAAATCTTTCCTGGCTCCTGGTGGATTTGGAATCACATACTCATTTGCAGAGATGCTTTATTTATGTTTCCACGATCTAGGGGCATACATTGACTTTTTCCACTTTTTTGCACAAATAGTTGTGGCGGGTTTGATTTTGTATTTTGACTTTTTTATAACAAATGCTAGAAAAAGGACCAGTGATGTCTAAGACTCATGATCATCAGTTGGAATCAAGTCTCAGTCCTGTGGAAGTGTTTACTAAAACATCTGCCTCCCTGGAGATGCATCAAGGTGTTTCAGAGGAAAGAATTCACCTTGGCTCTAGCCCTGAAAAAGGGGAAAATTGTGATCTCAGCCACCAGGAAAGACTTCAGTCGAAGTCCCTTCATTTGTCCCCTCAAGAACGATCTGCCAGTTATCAAGACAGGAGGCAATCCTGGCGGCGATCAAGTATGAAAGAAACGAACCGGCGGAAGTCGCTGCATCCCATTCACCAGGGCATCACAGGTGGGGTGCTGTGTACACAAGACAGTGAGGTTCCAGCTCAGATAAGAGACAGGTTCCAGCTCAGATAAGAGGCAGTGAGGTATGGCAGAAAGTGTAGGAGAATAGACATGACTTGCTACTTTATAAGTACTGATGTCGAACACCTAGTAAATGTTCAGTATTACTGCTATTTCTTTTTAAGAGACAGGATGTTGCTGTGCTGTCTAGGCTGGACTTGAACTTCTGGGCTCAAGCAGTCGTCCCAGTTCCGCCTCCCAAGTAGCTGGGACTACCGGCGTGAGCCACTGCACCTGGTTTACTACTTATGTTATTAGCTGCCACATATAAATTTCTAATTATTCAATATTCACCTGCTAGGATGAGAGACATTAAAGATTTCTTTCTGTGGTTTTCTATCTCATACCCTAAAGTGGAGCGGAAGATAGTTGGGTTGATACCTGATTTTAGCCTTTATAACTGAAAATATCTCAGGGAAGATGCACATACAAATATCTAGAGTGGGCCATGCCTGTAATCCTAGCACTTTGGGAGGCAGGAGGATTGCTTGAGTCCAGGAGTTTGAGGACAACCTAGGCAAAATGGCAAGACCCCATCTCTACAAAAAGTGTTTAAAAAAATAGCAGGGCATGGTGGCACGTACCTGTAGTCCCAGCTACTGGAGAGAGGCTGAGGCAAGAGGATCACTTGGGCCCAGGAATTCAAGACAGCAGTGAGCTATGATTGTGTCACTCAATCTATGATGGGTGACAAAGTAAGACCCCTGTCTCTAAAAAACTTCGTCTCTTTTTCCCTACTCCCTCTCTCTTCCCTCCTCCCTTGCTGCACCCCCCACCCCACCTCACTTTCTCTCTCTCTCTCTCTCTATGTGTGTGTGTGTGTGTGTGTGTGTGTGTGTGTGTATCTAGAGTGAAAAACTTAGTTTTTAGGGATGCTATACAGAATGTGATTTGTGTCATTTTGTGTGAATTTACAATAGTAACTATATCTTAGTAAGCATCAAAGTACAGAATATAACGTGGAAAGGCTTGCACATTTCAGGAAGACTATACTAGCTCTGTGGTGTTGAGTAAATTACTTAACCTTCTTTGCCTTAAGGTCCTCATCAGCAGCTTAGAGGTGAAATAGTACCTATCTTATATAACACAGTATTTGGCAGATAGTAAGCCCTGAAATGTTAAGCTATTGTGATTAGTTTTAAGGTATCATCCCATTTCCAAGTGGTCTGATGCACAGAAGGAAATCTGGGTAAAGATAGCCACTTAGCACATCAGAAAATTGCTGCCACAAGGCCCATGTACTTTAGTCCTTAGATGTGCTGAGAAAACATCAGTGCATCCCAAGATTAGCCCTACCTTTAGCTCTATGCCAGAGCATTTAGACTTAAACAGAAAAGCACCAATGTAATAAGGCTGGTTATTGCCTGGTTATTTCTGGCAACTTGCCAGGTTTCCTTGGTTATAGGCAGAAAGTATCCTGTTTTTCTTGACTAACAGCAGTGACAATTAAGAGACAAGAACTTTAAAAACACAACCAGCTGAACCTAGAGGGCAAAAAGACATGTAGCTCTCATAATTCACAAAGCAAAATTCCTTTGCTATGTAATAATTGTTTTCAAATGGACATAATTTTAAAAAACGGTATCTACATCTTGCGATTGGTTAGGGATTCAGTTGCATAATTATGTAAAATGCTCACCCAGTTCAGTCTGATAACTCACTGTATGACCTTGGGCAAGTTACCTTTTACTTTGTGCCTGTGTCATTATCTGTCATCTGAATGGAATTCATAGGATACTTGCCTCAAGGTTTAATGAAATATGTATATAGCATTTCATAAAATCCTTTTTATATAGCAAGTATTCAAAAAATGTTAGCTATTAATGCTATTATTAGGTCATTATAGAGAGGCAGTGTGGTAATAGTGGGAAAAACACAGATATTAGTGACAGACTTGGGTTTGAATTCTGGCTCCACCAATTTCCAGTTTCTGGCCTCAAACAAGTCATTTCCCCTCAGAGCTGCAGTTTTCCCATTTGTAAAATGGAACTTTATAATAGTACTCTTACAGTACAAAGTGTTTAAAGCACATTGCAGTGCCTGTCTTATAAAAATGCTCAAATGTGGCCAGGCACGGTGGCTCACACCTGTAATCCCAGCACTTTGGAAGGCCAAGGTGGGCAGATCACCTGAGGCCAGGAGTTCAAGACCAGCCTGGCCAACATGGGGAAGCCCTGTCTCTACTAAAAATATAAAAAATTGCCTGGGTTTGGTGGCGCATGCTTGTAGTCCCAGCTACTGCAACCTCTCGGCTCACTGCAGCCTCTGCCTCCTGGGCCCTTTTGATTCTCGTGCCTCAGCCTCTGGAGTAGCTAGGATTACAGGCGCATGCCACCACTCCTGGCTGATTTTTCTGTTGTTAGTAGAGACAGGATTTCACCATGTTGTCCAGGCTGGTCTCCAGCTCGTGGTCTCAAGTGATCCCATGCCTTGGCCCCAGAGTGTTGGGACTATAGGCGTGAGCCACCGTACCCAGCCAATACAAAGATTCCTGTAACTTTTTTTTTTAAGTTTGGGTGCACAAATGGGTAAACTTCATTCCTCAGTGATCCTGCAAAAATTAGAATTCTATCTTTAACTAAAGAAGGCTATTCTTGCCTTAAGTTGGATTTATCAAGAGGGAGGACACTTTTTAGTTTTGTTAGTTGCTAACTATCCATCTCCTTAAATGTGGCTATGTTTTATGTTAGAGCTCAGCCGGTCTATCAGTGTCGATTTAGCAGAAAGCAAACGGCTTGGCTGTCTCCTGCTTTCCAGTTTCCAGGTGAGGTTCTTGTAGCTGGGAAATGTTTTTGTGTTTGTTAACTGCTATTGTGACGATCTTTTTTTTTTAAGATGGATTCTGATTCTGTCACCCAGGCTAGAGTGCAGTGGTATGATCCTGACTCACTGCAACCTCCACCTCACAGGTTCAAGTGATTCTCCTGCCTCAGCCTCCCGAGTAGCTGGGACTACAGGCACGTGCCACCATGCCCAGCTAATTTTTGTACTTTTAGTAGAGATGGGACTTCACTGTGTTGGACAGAATGGTCTCGATCTCCTGACCTCCTGATCCGCCTGCCTCGGCCTCCTAAAGTGCTGGGATTTCAGGCATGAGCCACCGTATCCAGCCCTTAATTTTTTGTATTTTAGTAAAGATGAGGTTTCACCGTGTTGCCCAGGCTAGTCTTGAACACCTGAGCTCAGGCAGTCCACCCACCTCGGCCTCCCAAAGTGCTAGGATTACAGGTGTGAGCCACCGCGCCCAGACTTTTTTTAAGTTGTATTGTGTATTATGTGGCTACCAGGTACTTACATCAGTTTAGATAAGCAGGTAATTTGTATGAATTAAATAACCTTTTTTTTTTCCTAACGGAAAGTCAAAATCTATAGTCCAAGCAACAAAGGATTTTTTTGTTTGTTTTTTGTTTTTTTGAGATGGAGTCTCGCTCTATCACCAGCCTGGAGTGCAGTGGCACAATCTTGGCTCACTGCAACCTCCGCCTCCCAGGTTCAAGAAGTTCTCCTGCCTCACCCTCCCGAGTAGCTGGGACTACAGGCATGCGCCACCATGCCCAGCTAATTTTTTTTGTATTTTTAGTAGAGACGGGGTTTCACCATGTTGGCCAGGATGGTCTCCATCTCCTGACCTTATGATCCGCCTGCCTCAGCCTCCCAGAGTGCTGGGATTACAGGCATGAGCCACTGTGCCTGGTCAACAAAGAGGTTTTTGGTTTTTTTTTTTTTTTTTTTTTTTTTTTTTTTTTTTGAGACGGAGTCTCGCTCTGTCACCCAGGCTGGAGTGCAGTGGCCGGATCTCAGCTCACTGCAAGCTCCGCCTCCCAGGTTCACGCCATTCTCCTGCCTCAGCCTCCCAAGTAGCTGGGACTACAGGCGCCTGCCACCTCGCCCGGCTAAGTTTTTGTATTTTTAGTAGAGACGGGGTTTCACTGTATTAGCCAGGATGGTCTCGATCTCCTGACCTCGTGATCCGCCCGTCTCGGCCTCCCAAAGTGCTGGGATTACAGGCTTGAGCCACCGCGCCCGGCCATTTTTTTCTTATCTATTTATTTGTTTCTGTGAAAAGTCTTATGTGTAAAAATTAAATCATATTTAGTATTTAGTTTCATATTTATTAAACATCATAAAGTGACATAAATTTAGGACTGGCCTGGAAATTTTTGGTGGTTGTACTAAAAATGCTTTTCTTTTATTTAGTTCTCTATTCAGAAACTTGAACCTTTCCTAAGGGACATTAAGGGCTTCAGTCTTGAAAGTTTTAGAGCCAAAGGTAAGTTGCTAACAGATAAGTGAGCTTTGACCCTGGGCAGTCAAAGCTTTGCTCACAGCATCCCCATTTACAGAAGCTGCTGCCTTATAAAACTAGCTCCCCCACCTTTTTTTTTTTTTTTTTTTTTGAGATAGAGTCTCGCTCTGTCGCCCAGGCTGGAGTACAGTGGCGCGATCTCTGCTCACTGCAAGCTCCGCCTCCCAGATTCACGCCATTCTCCTGCCTCAGCCTCCCGAGTAGCTGGGACTACAGGCGCCCACCACCACTGCCGGCTAATTTTTTGTATTTTCGGTAGAGACAGGGTTTCAGTGTGTTAGCCAGGATGGTCTCGATCTCCTGACCTCGTGATCCACCTGCCTCGGCCTCCCAAAGTGCTGGGATTACAGGCTTGAGCCACCACGCCTGGCCCCCTTTTTTTTTTTTTTAAAGACAGAGTCTCATTCTGTTGCCCAGACTGGAGTGCAGTGGGGTGATCTTGGCTCACTATAGCCTCTGCCTCCTGGGTTCAAGCAGTTCTCCTGCCTGAGCCTCCCGAGTAGCTGGAAGCCACCATGCCTGGCTAATTTTTGTATTTTTAGTAGAGAAGAGGTTTCACCATGTTGGCCAGGCTGGTCTTGAACTCCTTACCTCAAGTGATCTGCCCATCTTGGCCTCCCAACGTGCTGGGATTACAGGCATGAGCCACTGTGTCCAGCCCCCCACTTTTTTTAACTTGCAAGAATATATGCTTATGAAGCTCAGGTGGTATGAAAGTGGAAAATAATCTTCCCTTCCACTCTGACCCCCAGTCTCAGTTCCTCTCCCCAAATGTAACTGTGGTCACCAGTTTCTTGTGTATCCTTGCAGAAATATTTATTGCTTTCTTTTTCTTTTTTTTTTTGAGATGGAGTTGCACTCTGTCACCCAGTATTTCTAGTAGAGACAGGGTTTTGCCATGTTGGCCAGGCTGGTCTCGAACTCCTGACCTCAGGCAATTCACCCACCTCAGCATCCCAAAGTTCTGGGATTATAGCAGTGAGGCACTGTGCCTGGCCTTTTTGGTTTCCCTTCCCTCCCCTCCCTTTCCTTTGCTTTCCTTTTTTTTTTTTTTTTTTTTTTTCAGGCGGAGTCTTGCTCTGTTGCCAAACTGGAGTGCAGTGGTGCAATCTCGGCTCACTGTAACCTTTACCTCCCAGGTTCAAGCGATTCTCCTGCCTCAGTCTCCCGAGTAGCTGGGACTACAGGCGCCACCATTCTCAGCTAAGTTTTACGTTTTTAGTAGAGACTGGGTTTCACCATGTTGGCCAGGATGGTCTTGATCTCTTGACCTCGTGATCTGCCCGCCTTGGCCTCCCAAAGTGCTGGGATAATAAGCATGAGCCACGGTGCCCAGCCTGGTTTTCTTTTTCTAATAAAGAGATGGGGGTTCTCTGTGTTGCTCAGGCTGTGCTGGGCTCAAGCAATCCTCCTGCCTTAGCCTCCTAAGTAGCTGGGACTACAAACACTATGCCTGGCTATGCCCGTAATTTTTTATTTGCCTCCTTGTTTCGTATTACTCTCTTGCCTATTGCCTGAGTTTTTTTTGTTTTGTTTTTGTTTTTTTTGACATAGAGTCTCATTCTAGCCCAGGCTGATGTGCAGTGGCACCATCTCAGCTCACTGCAACCTCTGCCTCCCAGGTTCAAGCGATTCCCCTGCCTCAGCCTCCCGAGTAGCTGGGATTACAGGCGTGCACCACCACACCCAGCTAATTTTTGTATTTTTAGTGGAGACAGGGTTTCATCATGTTGGCCTGGCTGGTCTCGAACTCCTGACCTCAAGTGGTCCGCCTGCCGTGGCCTCCAAAAGTGCTGGGATTACAGGTGTGAGCCACTGTGCCCAGCCTCAGATACACCTTTTAAACTGCTTTTTCACAGGTCATTTATAGAAACATCATAAATGTCATAAAGGCTCGGCACAGTGGCTTACTTACGCCTATAATCCCAGGACTTTGGGAGGCTGAGGCAGGCGAATCACTTGAGCCCAGGAGCTGGAGACCAGCCTAGGCAACATGGTAAAACCCCATTTCTACAGAAAATACAAAAATTAGCTGGGCATGGTGGTGCTGCCTGTATTCCCAGCAAATAGGGAGGCTGGGGGCGGGGGTTATATTGCTTGAGCCCAGAAGGTGGAGGTTGCAGTGAGCTGAGATCACACCACTGCACTTCAGCCTAGGTGATAAAGCGAGAGTCTGTCTAAATAAATAGATAAAAATGAGTTGTCTTTCATTTTATCTATACCTACCAGAAAAAAAAGATACAGTCTTTCTACATACTTAACTCCACACTTTTGGGTGGGCTTGAGGACCAACATGTAACAGCAGACCCTAGAGCTGAGACTACCTTAATATACCTTTGTCAGCATCTCACTGTGAAAATGTATATTTTCTTTATTTTATGACACGTAAATTTGTTCTGTCTAGCATCTTCTCTTTCTGAAGAATTGAAACATTTTGCAGACGGACTAGAAACTGATGGAACTCTACAAAAATGTTTCGAACATTCAAATGGGTAAGAGCAGTTCCCCTTCTGTCCTAAATTATGATTGAATTAAGACTTTTGGCCGGGCGCTGTGGCTAACGCCTGTAATCCCAACACTTTGGGAAGCCGAGGTGGGCAGATCACAAGGTCAGAAGATCAAGACCATCTTGGCTAACATGGTGAAACCCCGTCTCTACTAAAAATACAAAAAAAAAAAAAAAATTAGCCAGGCGTGGTGGCAGGCACCTGTAGTCCAAGCTACTCGGGAGGCTGAGGCAGGAGTATGGCATGAACCCAGGAGGCGGAGCTTGCAGTGAGCCGAGATTGGGCCGCTGCACTCCAGCCTGGGAGACAGAGAGACTCCGTCTCAAAAAAAAAAAAAAAAGAATTAGGACTTTTGTTATAATTAGATAGTTGTTCATTTACCAACAAACATTTATTCAGCATCTTCTCTTTTTATTTATTTATTTATTTTTTGGTTCGGAACCTTGCTGTGTCCCCCAGGCTGGAGTGCAATGGTGTTATCTTGGCTCACTGTAACCTCCATCTCCCGGGTTCAAACCATTCTTCTGCCTCAGCCTCTCAGGTAGCTGGGACTACAGGCATGCACCACCATGCCTGGCTAATTTTTTTGTATTTTTAGTAGAGATGGGGTTTCACCATGCTGACCAGGCTGGTCTCAAGCTCCTGACCTCAAGTGATCCACCCACCTCAGCCTCCCAAAGTGCTGGGATTACAGACGTGAGCCACCATGCCCAGCTTATGTTTTTTTTTTTTTTTAATTTTTGTTTTTTGAGACAGAGTCTTGCTCTGTTGCCCAGGCTGGAGTGCAATGGCGCAATCGTGGCTGACTAACCTCTGTCTCCCGGGTTTAAGCAATTCTCCTGCCTCAGCCTCCCGCGCAGCTGGTATTACAGGTGCCCACCACCACACCTGGCTAATTTTTGTATTTTTTTTTTTAGTAGAGACAGGGTTTCACCATATTGGCCAGGCTGGTCTCGAGCTCCTGACCTCAAGTAATCCACCTGCCTTGGCCTCCCAAAGTGCTGGGATTACAGACATGAGCCACTGCACCCGGCTTATTTATTTATTTTTTTTAATTTTTGTTTTTTGAGACAGAGTCTTGCTCTATTGCCCAGGCTGGAGTGCAATGGCGTAATCTTGGCTCACTGTAACCTCCGCCTCCCTGGCTCAAGCAATTCTCCTGCCTCAGCCTCCCGAGTTGCTGGGATTACAGGTGTGCCCCACCATGCTCGACTTATTTTTTGTATTTTTATAGAAACGAGGTTTCACCATGTTAGCCAGGCTGATCTTGAACTCCTGACCCCAGGTGATCCACCCGTTTGAGCCTCCCAAAGTGCTGGGATTACAGGCGTGAGCCACCACGCCCGGCCAAGAGACACGGAGTTTTTAAGCAAGGAAAAAAAATTAGAGAAATATTTTAAGAAAGGTTAATCTGGCCATGATGTGAATTGGAATTGATAAGTGAAACAGAATATAAAGAGACCACTTAGAAAGCTATTACCTAGCTATTACCTATAGCTTAGAAAGCTATTACCTAGTGCAAGCTGGGCACGGTTGCTCACACCTGTAATCCCATCTGTTTGGGAGGCCGAGGCAGGCGGAACACAAGGTCAGGAGATCGAGACCATCCTGGCTAACACGGTGAAACCCTGTCTCTACTAAAAATACAAAAAATTAGCTGGGCATGTTGGTGGGTGCCTGAGGCTGAGGCAGGAGAATGGTGTGAACCTGGGAGGCGAACCTTGCAGTGAGCCAAGATAGCGTCACTGCACTCCAGCCTGGGTGACAGAGCGAGACTTCATCTCAGGAAAAAAAAAAAGAAAGCTATTACCTAGTGGAAAAGTGAAATAGAGTCCAACATTAAGTATTTTTTGAAAGACAAAAATTATGTAAGGGAGTCTGGGCATGGTGGCTCCCACCTGTAACTGAGGTGGGAGAATCACTTGAGCCCAGGAGTTTGAGACCTGGGCAACATGGAGAGACTGCATCTTTACTAAAAATAAATAAAAGACTGGGTGCGGTGGCTCACACCTGTAATCCCAGCACTTTGGGAGGCTGAGGTGGGTGGATCATGAGGTCAGGAGTTCGAGACCAGCCTGGCCAACATAGTGAAACCCCATCTCTACCAAAAATACAAAAATTAGCTGAGGGTGGTGGTGGTCGCCTGTTATCCCAGCTACTCTGGAGGCTGAGGCAGGAAAATCACTTGAACCCGGGAGGCGGAGGTTGCAGCAAGCTGAGATTGAGCCACTGTACTCCCACCTGGGTGACAGAGCCAGACTCCGTCTCAAAAATAAATAAATAGCTGGGCGCTGTTTCTCACGCCTATAATCCCAGCACTTTGAGAGGCTGAGGCAGGCGGATCACCTGAGGTCGGGAGTTTGAGACCAACCGGACCAACATGGAGAAACCCCATCTCTACTAAAAATACAAAAGTAGCCGGGTGTGGTGGTGCATGCCTGTGATCCCAGCTACTCTGGAGGCTGAGGTAGGAGAATCTGTTGAACCAGGGAGGCAGAAGTTTCAGTGAGCCGAGATTGTGCCATTGCACTCCAGCCTGGGCAACAAGAGCGAAACTCTGTATCAAATAAATAATTTATAAGCGATTATATTAAAGCAAATATTTCTTGAAAGATTTATGTCGTAATCCTATCTGTTTTCCAGAAAAGCATCAGATTTTTCCCTGGAAGCATCTGTGGCTGAGATGAAGGAATACATAACAAAGTAAGTTAACCTTTGTTAGAAAATCTAAATTCATTCTCCTATCTGGGGAAATTAACTAACTTGGAAAAAATGAATAGTAAGCATTGTATTTGGAGAGTCAGCATTAGTGCACCAATACTAGAAGTTAGAAGGCTCGTATTGAGATTTTTATGGACTCTACTAATGATCAGTTTCACAGAATGGAATCTAGAGAACACAAATATTAATTTGACTTGAAGAACTGAGGTTTGGTATGATTAAATATCCTCTGAATTGGTCAGGCTTTCTAATCCTGTAATGACCTTCAACTCACATTTTACATCTAGATTGTACACCTAACATACTTATTGTTACCGTGAGTGATTCAGAATAAGATTATAAAAATTAACTGAATTTTTTTTCCTCATTCTTATAGGTTTTCTTTAGAACGTCAGATTTGGGATCAGCTCTTGGTGCACTACCAGCAGGCGGCTGAAGAGATATTGTCCAGGTTAGCTCTATGAACTGTAAAAACTGTCTTTAAAAACCTTATGGAGTTTGATTGGGGTTTATTTCAGTTCTGTTAGTACAAATTGAAAGATGAATCCTTTCTCACAGGCCAGTAAGCTAATCAAATTCTGTAGTGTGTATTAGCACTCTCTGACCATAAACGGGAAGTGAGTGAGAAGAAGGAAGAGTTGGTGTCACTATTTTTGGTCCAAAACACAATTGCTTCTGTTCTGTGTCCTTGGCTACCATTTCATATCCTGGGGGAGACAGGCACATCTCTACATTGTACCTGGCAGCCTGGGGCTGGGCCAAGAACAGTAATCAAGGGGCTTCAGTGAGCACATGGCCTATGAGCTGCATGTTTGGGGGATGCCCTTGGCCAGGGCCTTCTTGGAAACAGAAAGACATGAAAGTGGGTGATGAGGAGGATGTGAGGAAAGAGAGGATCTTTGGGTCTTGAAGGTAGAGGAAAAGTAGGAAAGTGCTAGGTGTTTGTTTGTTTGTTTTGTTTTGTTTTGGAGACAGACTCTCGCTCTGTTGCCCAGGCTGGAGTGCATGGTGCTATCTCAACTCACTCCACCTCCCGTGTTCAAGCAATTCTCCTGCCTCAGCCTCCTGAGTAGCTGGGACTACAGGTGTGTGCCATGATGCCAGGCTAATTTTTGTATTTTTAGTAGACACAGGATTTCACCATGTTGGCCAAGCTGGGCTGGGTGTTTTTTGTTGTTTTTTCGTTTTTTTGCTGTGTTGCCTAGGCTGGAGTGCAGTGGCACGATCTCAGCTCACTGCAGCCTCCACCTCCCAGGTTCAAGCAATTCTTCTGCCTCAGCCTCCTGAGTAGCTGGGATTGCAGGCATGTTCCACCACACCATGGTTTTGCCATGTTGGCCAGGCTGGTCATGAACTCCTGGCCTCAAGTGATCTGCCTATCTTGGCCTCCCAAAGTGTTGAGATTACAGGTGTAAGCCACAGCACCTGGCCAGAAAATGCTAGATTTTTACTTAGATGAACATTTAAGCCATGGTTTTAAGGTTTTTTTTTTTTTTTTTTTCCAAAATAAAATCTCAGCTAGAATCCCAACGACAAAATGTTAGTCAAAACCCTAATTGCAGAAGTGACCTCTCAGTAGAGAGGGTCTCTGAGGACCGTGGTTTGAAAAACTTTCCCAGTCCAGGTAATGATGGTTATCAGTTACTTTTCACCCCTTACATACTCTGTTTATGAAGAAAGATAATGTGTAAGATGCCAGTTTCATATAAAAACTTTTGTGGCAAAGCTTATAGGTTAAAAGGAATGGTTCTAGAAGCAGACTGTCTGTTCAGACTCTAACTGTTCCTTAGTTTTGTGACCTTGGGCAAATCACTTAGTCTTGAATGAGCCTGAGGTTCCTCATTTGAAAATGGGGATGATATTAGTACCTTCCTCATTGGGTTATTGTAAGTGTCAAATTAGGTTAAATGTAAAGTACCCAGTAGTGTCTGGCACCTACTTAGCACTCAGTAAATTGTAGTAGTTGTTGTTATTAAAGTTGTTGTTCATCAGTTTTCATGAACTCTCAGTCCTGTTCAGTTATTTTAGATAATTGAGGTAGGCCAGCGTGTTTTGGTAAACAATCATAGACCCTGACTTTAGGATAGCAAGCTTTGGCTTCACTCTCTCCCAAGTATAGTCTTTCTGGTATATGGACCTTACTATTAAGTGGATTCAACTGACTGGAAGCTTCTAGCATTTCCTGGAGTCCAGAGGTATAAAGACATGAATACTAGACAGTTGTTTCAGAACTTCTTGTTAAGGCCAGGCGCGGTGGCTCATGCCTGTAATTCTAGCACTTTGGGAGGCCGAGGCAGGTGGATCACAAGTTCAGGAGTTCGAGACCAGCCTGGCCAACATGGTGAAACCCCATCTCTACTAAAAATACAAAAAATTAGCTGGGCATGGTGGCAGGCGCCTGAAATCCCAGCTACTTGGGAGGCTGAGACAGGAAAATCGCTTGAACCCGGGAGGCAGAGGTTTCAGTGAGCTGAGACCACGCCACTTCATTCCAGCCTAGGCAACAGAGTGAGACTCAGTCTCAAAAAAAAAACTTCCTGTTAAGAGAGCCTATACCTAGTGTAGAGTTGAGGAATACTGATTCAGCTTTATAGGATAATCTTTGGTATCTCTTCCAGAAAATAATTACAAAATCCCTCGAAAGCACTTTTGTTTTGTTTTTAGAGGATCAGCTGAGGCCAAAATTACTGAGGTCAAAGTGGAACCTATGACATATCGTGGGTCTTCTCAGAATGAAGTTCTTAATACAAAGCCTGACTACCAGAAAATATTACAGAACCAGAGCAAAGTCTTTGATTGTATGGAGTTGGTGGTAAGTGGGCTCATGTTTATTTGGTTGAGTTATCCAGCTTGCCACCTTGTAATCCTTGGAAATTAAAAGACCTGGAGAATATGTATAAGTGTAAGTTGAATAAGTATATTCAGCTCTACCTTGGGAAAACATGGAGAGACAATTAAAAAATAATAAACAGGCCGGGTGTGGTGACTCACACCTGTAATCCCAGCACTTTGGGAGGCCGAGGTGGGCGGATCACGAGGTCAGGAGTTCGAGACCAGCCTGGCCAACATGGTGAAACCCCATCTCTACTAAAAATACAAAAAATTAGCTGGGCGTGGTGGTGGGCGCCTGTGGTCCCAGCTACTCAGGAGGCTGAGGCAGGAGAATGGCGTGAACCCAGGAGGCAGAGGTTGCAGTGAGCTGAGATCGCGCCACTACACTCCAGCCTGGGTGAGAGCGAGACTCCGTCTCAAAAAAAAAAAAAAATTAAAAAATTAAAAAATGAATATATAGTGGTAAATGCTGATGAAGTAGGTAAGAGGGAAGGACAGTATAGGGAGGTTGATGGGTTGCTATTTTATATAGCAAGGTTATTGAAGGCCCCTTTGAGGTGCCATTTTAACAGACTTGAAGGAAATGAACCATGAGGACATTTGAGGGAATAGTATTGTGTCAATCCAGGTATTAACAGCAAGCAGATGGTATTTGAAAGGACAATTCAATGAGAGTTTATTTTCAAAAAAGCTAAATAGATATGGGTATTGGAGAACCACAAGGGTTAGTAGAGTAACCTGGGGCTTATAGGCAGCAGAGCTCTTACTCCCCCTAGGCCTGAAAGGGAGGAGGGAGTAGCAGTTACTGTGGCACCTAATGGGAGAAAGTCACATAGTTAGCTGATTTGAGAGAGCCAACTCAAGATGACTCGTTCAGCTCCTTCCCACTTAGGCATCCTGTTGGTAGAGGTTACACGGGTCAGCCTCCTGGAGCATAGAGCAACCTGGAGAAGTATGTGGTGTGACTTTGGAGGAACAAACAGAGTATCTGGCATAAGCATTCCAGGCTGAAAGAACAGCAAGCCCAAAGCTCCTGAACAAGAGCTTGCTTGTCGGGTTTGAGGAACATCCAAGAAGCCATGGACCTTTACAGCTCACGGCTGTCTTTTTTCTGCAGATGGATGAGCTGCAAGGGTCAGTGAAACAGCTGCAGGCCTTTATGGAGGAAAGTACCCAGTGCTTCCAGAAGGTGTCAGTACAGCTTGGTAAGCTTGTCTCTTGAGGGGACCAGAGTTTGGGCTGTTTTCCATCTGATAGCTTTTGGGATACAAACTGCCCTTCAAAGCCTATGGTCCAAGAGGGTAAGACCTATATGAGGTGATTTGTTTTTCTCCCCACAATAAATAGTATGTTATTGATATATACTATTTGATAGGAAATTTCTAGATGTAAATTCTACAGAAGCACAGTAGACTGAAAATTAAATCCCCATGAAATATGTTGTTGTTCTGGTAAATCCAAGACTTAAGAAATACCCACCCATTGCTTTTTCCCTCCTCATTTCTCAAGAATTCACTAAGTGACACTGACATTACTCCTCCCTAGCTTTTCCTGACCTCCTCTCAGCCCTTAATTATTTGCTATATGTACCTTCATTTTCTTTCTTTTTTTTTTTTTTTTCTTCTTTTTTTGAGGCAAAGTCTCACTCTTGCTCTCATCCAGGTTGGAGTGCAGTGGTGCAATGACTGCACAGCTCACTGCAGCCTAAACCTGATAGGCTCAAGCAGTCCTTTCACCTCAGGCTCCCAGAGTAGCTGGGACTAAAAGCGTGCACCACCACACCCAGCTAAATTTTTAATTTTTTTGTAGAGATGGTCCAGGCTGTGTTGTCCAGGATGGTCTTCAACCCCTGGGCTCAAGTGATCCTCCTGCCTTGGCCCCCCAGAGTGCTGGGATTATAAGTGTGAGCCACTGCGCCTGACCATCATTTTATTTGTTTGTTTGTTTATTTGTTTTGAGAAGGAGTTTCGCTCTTGTTGCCCAGGGTAGAGTGCAATGGCGAGATCTCGGCTCACTGAAACCTCTGCTTCCTGGGTTCAAGTGATTCTCCTACCTCAGCCTCCCGAGTAGCTAGGATTATAGGCATGCTCCACCACGCCCGGCTAATTTTGTATTTTTAGTAGAGACGGGGTTTCTCCATGTTGGTCAGGCTGGTCTCGAACTCCTGACTTCAGGTGATCCACCTGCCTTGGCCTCCCAAAGTGCTGGGATTACAGGCTTGAGCCAGTGCGCCCGGCCTCCATCTTCTTACTGATCATGTTGTATTGTGATTGTAGTGGTAGCTGGCTTTTTTTTTTCAGAGTCTCACTCTGTTGCCCAGGCTAGAGTGCAGTGCCATGATCTTGGCTCCCTGCAACCTCCGCCTCCTGAGTTCAAGATACTCTCCCACCTCATTCTCCTGAGTAGCTGGGATTACAGGCATGTGCCACCATATCTGGCTAATTTTTGTATTTTTAGTAGAGATAGGTTTTCACCATGTTGGTCAGGCTGATCTTGAACTTCTGACCGCAAGTGATCCACCCACTTTGGCTTTCCAAAGTGTTGGGATTACAGACATGAACCACCTTTTTTTTTTTTTTTTTTTTTTAAGATAGGGTCTTGCTCTGTCGCCCAGGCTGGAATACAGGGGTGCAGTCATGACTCATTGCAGCCTCAACTTTCTGGGCTCCCAGCTGATCCTCTTGCCTCCCATGTAGCTGGATGATCATGCTAGGACCATGCTAGGCTAATTTTTTTTTTTTTTTTTTTTTTTTTTTTTGTAGAGACAAGGTCTTACTGTGTTGCCCAGGCTAGTCTCAAACTTCAAACAGTCCTCCCGCCTTGGTTTCCCAAAGTGCTGGGATTACAGGCGTGAGCCACCTTGCCCACCTGTGGTAAGATGACAGTTCTTACCAAATTGTCATCTCCTTGAGGCCAGAGACTCTCTTATTTGTCTTTGTAATGCCCTTCCATGTCTGGCACAATGTCCATACATTAAGTTTTCAATAAATGTTATGTTATTTCAATTGAAATTTATTTTTTTGGCCTCTTTTCTCTGCAGGGAAGAGAAGCTTGCAACAATTAGATCCCTCACCAGCTCGAAAACTGTTGAAGCTTCAGCTGCAGAACCCACCTGCCACACGTGGATCTGGATCTTGTCAGTGACCTTATGAGCTTTCCTGCCACAAGTTGCCCAAGAGGAGAAGAATGGGAAGAGTGCCCCAGCACATGGAGACTGCGTGATTTCTGCTCTGTTGCCTTTGAAGATAACTGGCTGGACTGACTATAGAGCACTTTGACTTTTTTCAAAAAGTGATGGAATTTGTATGTCAAATGAATATTGTATAGACGTTTTTCCCAGGAATGTACAAAATTCTTGAAAGTTCAAACTTCTTTTTTGAAATGCTCTTCAGATCCAGTGGCCCATTCTTTTATCTTTATCCTATGAAGATGTTTTTCAGGTTTTGAAACAATCCAAAAATCATTTAGGACCAAGTCTAAGGAAACATTTTAGTGGCCATCTTGGATTCTGGTTGTAAAGGAATGATACTAATTTTCTAGCATGGCTCTGAAGGTGATTTTAGGTAGAAGAGTTTTGAGGCTGGGCATAGTGGCTCACGCCTGTAATCCTAGCACTTTGGGAGACTGAGGCGGGTGGATTGCTAGAGCCCAGAGGTTCAAGACCAGCCTGAGAAATAAGGTGAAACCCTGTCTACAAAAAATACAAGAAGTTAGCTGGGTGTGGTGGCATGCGCCTGTAGTGCCAGCTACTCAGAAAGCTGAGGTGGGAGGATTACTTGAGCCCAGGAGGTTGAGGCTGCAGTGAGCTCTAATTGTGCCAGTGCACTCCAGCCTGAGCGACAGAATGAGACAGTGTCTTAAAAAAAAATTAAAAATTGTTAAAAAAAAAATGGAAAAGTTTTGAGCATTGTTTGCGTCATTGGGATACATATGTCACTTCACAAGATGTTCAATTTGAAGGAAATACCACTCATTATATCCTGTTGTCTGTAGTGTGCTTCCGTTTTTAATATTGAGTTGACCTCCTAAATCCTAGATTCATGACAAGAAAGACTAAGTACTACTATTCATTGTTCTATTTGTTTATAATCTGTATTGTAAACTTGCACATAATTAAAAGCTTTCCCTTGTCTTTGTCTGTGTTTTGAGTGTATAAACAAAAAGGGAGTACTGGGCACGGTGGCTCACGCCTATAATCCCAGCACTTTGGGAGGCCTAGGCGGGCAGATTGTCTGAGCTCAGGAGTTCACTACCAGCCTGGGCAACATAGTGAAACCCTGTCTCTACTAAAAAAAAAAAAAAAAAGGCTGGGCATGGTGGCATGCACCAGTAAGTAGTTCCAGCTACTCAGGGGGCTGAGGCAGGAGAATTGATTGAACCCGGGAGGCGGAGGTTGCAGTGAGCCAAGATCACACCACTGCACTCCAGCCGGGGCAAAAGAGCGAGACTCCATCTCAAATAAAAGGGAGGGCAGGGCCCAGTGGCTCACACCTGTAACCCCAGCACTTTGGGAGGCCAAGGTGGGCAGATCACGAGGTCAGGAGTTCAAGACCAGACTGCCCAACATAGTGAAACACCATCTCTATTAAAAATACAAGAATTACTTTGGGAGGCCGAGATGGGCAGATCATGAGGTCAGGAGATCGAGACCATCCTGGCTAATACGGTGAAACCCCGTCTCTACTAAAAATACAAAAAAAAAAAATTAGCCGGGCGTGGTGGCAGGCGCCTGTAGTCTCAGCTACTTGGGAGGCTGAGGCAGGAGAATGGCATGAACCTGGAGGGCGGAGCTTGCAGTGAGCCGAGATTGTGCCACTGCACTCCAGCCTGGGCGACAGAGCGAGACTCCGTCTCAAAAAAAAAAAAAAAAAAAAAAATAGCCGGCTGTGTTGGTGCACACCTGTAATCCCAGCTACTTGGGAGGCTGAGGCAGAAGAATTGCTTGAACTTGGGAGGTGGAGGTTGCAGTGAGCTGAGATTGTGCCATTGCACTCCAGCCTGGGCGACAGAGTGAGACTCTATCTCAAAAAAAAACGGAGGGCTGGGCATGGTGGCTCACACCTGTAATCCCAGCACTTTGGGAGGCCGAGGCAGGTGGATCACTTGAGGTCAGGAGTCCGAGACCACCCTGGCCAACATGGTGAATTCCCATATCTACAAAAAATACAAAAAAAATAGCCAGATATGGTGGCACATACCTGTAATCCCAGCTACTTGGGAGGCTGAGGCAGGAGAATCACTTGAACCCAGGAGGCAGAGCTTGTGCCACTGCACTCATGGGCAGTGCTTTATCCTGGGCGAAAAGGCAAGACTCTGTCTTAAAAAACAAAACAAAACAAAAAAAAAGAGTAGGAGGGTTTAACAGAAAACAGGATTCTTTGCCAAGATGCTGAAGTGAACAGTAGTGTTGAGCTATACCTCTGCATTAATTACCAGTAGAACACCAACTAGGCCAGGCACTTTGGGAGGCTGAGGTGAGTGGTCGCTTGAGCCCAGGAGTTTGAGGCCAGCCATGAGCAGCATGCCGAAACCCGGTCTACAAAAAATACAAAAATTGGCTGAGAGTGGTGGTGCATACCTGTATTTCCAGCTACTTGGGAGGCTGAAGTGAGAGGATCAATTGAGCCTGGAAGGCCAAGGCTGCAGCAAGACATGATCGTAGTACTGCATTCCAGCCTGGGCAACAAAGTGAGACCCTATCTCAAAATTTAAAAAATTAAAAATAAATAAAAATAAAAATAAAAAAGGGCCGGGCGTGGTGGCCCACACCTGTAATCCCAGCACTTTGGGAGGCCGAGGCGGGTGAATCATGACGTCAGGAGATCAAGACCATCCTGGCTAACATGGTGAAACCCCATCTCTACTAAAAACACAAAAAATTATCCAGGCATGGTGGCGGGTGCCTGTAGTCCCAGCTATGTGGGAGGCTAAGGCAGGAGAATGGTGTCAACTCAGGAGGCGGAGCTTGCAGTGAGCCAAGATCACGCCACGGCACTCCAGCCTGGGCAACAGAGTGAGACTCTGTCTCAAAACAATAAATTAATTAAATAAATTAAATTAAATTAAAAAGCCACACACACACACAAAAACCCACCATCCAATTTATTACTTACGTTTCTTATTCTGGCCAGGCATGGTGGCTCACACCTGTAATCCAGCATTTTGAGAAGCTGAAGTAGAGATCACTTGAAACTAGGAGTTCGAGATCAGCCTAGGCAAGATGGTGAGACCCTCAACCCTTCAAAAATTTTAAAAATTAGCCAGGCTTGATGGTGCGTGCCTATAGTGCTCATGCCTGTAGTCCCAGCTACTCAGGAGGCTGGGGCAGGAAGATCCCTTGAGCTCAGGAGTTCAAGGCTGCAGCGAGCTATGATTGTGCCACTGCACTCCAGCCTGGACAACAGCAAGACCCTGGCTCAAAAGCTAACTAACTAACTAAATAAATAAATCCAGGCAGTAGGTGCCATGGCACGCTTATGGCTCACTGGACCCTCAACCTCCTGAGCTCAACCAGCTCAAACAGCTGGGACTACAGGTGTGCACCACCACATCTGACTAATTTTTGTTTTGTTTGAGAGGAGTCTCCCTCTGTTGCCCAGGCTGGAGTGCAGCAGTGCCATCTCGGCTCACTCCAACATCTGCCTCCTGGCTTTAAGTGATTCTCCTGCCTCAGCCTCCTGAGTGCATGGGATTACACACACGCACCACCACACCCAGCTAATTTTTGTATATTTAGTAGAGATGGGGTTTCACCATGTTGTCCAGGCTGGTCTTGAACTTCTGACCTTAGGTGAGCCACCCATCTTAGCCTCCCAAAGTGTTGGGATTACAGGCATGAGCCACTGCACCTGACCTAACCTTTTTTTAGACGGAGTCTTGCTCTGTCACCCAGGCTGGAGTGCAGTGGCACGATCTCGGCTCACTGCAAGCTCCGCCTCCCGGGTTCACACCATTCTCCTGCCTCAGCTTCCCGAGTAGCTGGGACTACAGGCGCCCACCACCATGCCTGGCTAATTTTTTTTGTATTTTTAGTAGAGACGGGGTTTCACCGTTTTAGCCAGGATGCTCTCGATCTCCTGACTTCGTGATCTGCCCGCCTCGGCCTCCCAAAGTGCTGGGATTACAGGCGTGAGCCACCACGCCCGGCCCTGAACTAACTGTTGTACTGTCGTTGGAATGGGGTTTCTCCATGTTGCCCAGGCTGGTCTCAAACTGGACTCAAGATATCCACCCACCTCAGCCTCCCAAAATGCTGAGATTACAAGTGTGAGCCACTGTGCTCAGCCAAAATAAAATGTTTCTTATTCTCTGATCCCACTAAAGGGACAAATCCCATTTCAGTTAAACACCCAGTCTTAATCTTAAGTCTTAAACCTTGGTGCAAGTGCCAGTTAATAAGAGATGACATCTCCTTGCTTTGACCTACATTTGTTCTTTATTCCTTTATATATTTACTGAGGACCTGCCATATGCCACACACAGTTCTAGGATTGGAGGGGCAAGCAAAGAGCAAAAACACATGGGTTCTTTCTCAAGATGCTCAGTTTCCTGACGACACAAGGACCAAGAAAAAACACTGCAGAAGAGATATTTCAGTTGACTTGAGAAAGATGAAGGAGTTAAATGGGACATTTCAGGCAAAAGGAGATGCAATTTTCAAAGGCTTGAAGAGCAGAGTGGAGCATGCTAGGATACTTAAAAAAAAAAAAAAAAAAAAAAAAAAAAGGCCGGGCGTGGTGGCTCACGCCTGTAATCCCAGCACTTTGGGAGGCTGAGGCAGGCAGATCACAAGGTCAGGAGATCGAGGTCATCCTGGCTAACACGGTGAAACCCCGTCTCTACTAAAAAATAAAAAGAAAAATTAGCTGGGCGTGGTGGCGGGCGCCTGTAGTCCCAGCTACTGGGGAGGCTGAGGCAGGAAAATGGTGTGAACCCGGGAGGCGGAGCTTGCAGTGAGCCAAGATCCCACCACTGCACTCCAGCCTGGGCTACAGAGCAAGACTCCATCTCAAAAAAAAAAAAAAAAGAATAAAGCAGGAGTGCTGGGCACCAGCAGAAGACTGGCCTGAAACAAGTATAATTGAAAGTTATTAGAAGGTTTCAAGAAAGGGCGAGAGGACAGAACTTTATTTTTAAAAGATTACTCGGCCGAGCGCAGTGGCTCACACCTGTAATCCCAGCACTTTGGTAGGCTGAGGTGGGTGGATCACGAGGTCAAGAGATCAAGACCATCCTGGCCAACATGGTGAAACCCCGTCTCTACTAAAAATACAAAAAACTAGCCGGGCGTGGTGGCGGGCGCCTGTAGTCCCGATTCAGCTGAAGGATCGTAACCGGATGGACTGCAGTACAGATCGCCCATAGGGGGAAAGGACCGTAAAAAAAAAAAAAATTAGCTGGACGTGGTGTCACGTGCCTGTAGTCCCAGCTACTCAAGAGGCTGAGGCAGGAGACTCGCTTGAAACAGGAAGACCAGAGATCGTGCCACTGCACTCCAGCCTGGGCCACAAGAGTGAAACTCCATCTCAAAAAAAAAAAAAAAAAAAAAAATACTCTAGTTGCGGTGTGGGGAAAAGACAGAAGCAAGCAAGGTGTGGGTGTGAGAGACCAGTTAGGTTATTGCAGGCGTCAAGGACAGAAATGACAGCTTGTGCTGGGTGTTTGCAGTGGACGAGTGGGGTGAGACTGCTTCTGTTGCCCACAGTGTCTGGAACATAGACATGGAACCTAGGTATTAAAAACCTTACTCTAGCCGGGTATGGTGGCTCACACCTGTAATCCCAGCACTTTGGGAGGCTGAGGCAGGTGGATCACCTGAGGTCAGGAGTTCAAGACCAGCCTGGGCAACATGGTGAAACCCCATCTCCTCAAAAATACAAAAATTAGCCTAGCATGATGGCAGGTGCCTGTAATCCCAGCTACTTAGGAGGCTGAGGTGGGAGAATCGCTTGAACCCGGGAGGGGGCGAAGGTTGTAGTGAGCCAAGATTGTGCCACTGCACTCTAGTCTGGGTGACAGAGCAAGACTCTGTTTCAAAAAAAAACCCTAACTCTGCCGGGCGCGGTGGCTCACGCCTGTAATCCCAGCACTTTGGGAAGCTGAGGCGGGCTCACGAGGTTAGGAGTTCCAGACCAG